TTTTGGAGGACAAAGGACAAATTCAAAAGGATGTTTTAATGCCTCAAGTGACTTGATGTCGGATGAGTTCAAATTGGATTTGGAATTTGTAGCGATTCAATCAATCCGACACCGTCACACCCACGAGATGTGGACGTCCCTTCCATGAAGGGTAATTTCCTTTGTGTTTTTTCCCAAGCTGACAAAAGTTCCATGCTGCCTTACAAGCGCGTCCCAGGGAGCGATGCGCTCATTGGTAACCGGGCTCACCACTTACAGCTGCTTCAGACTGACTTTCAGCACTCATTTCCACACTTACCTGCACAGAAGCCCGACAGTCTCCCCTCAGACCGACTCACTGGACCATGAGTCTCATCTGGAGGGTTGTTAAGTGGAGCTGCGGCCGTAATATCCATTTGGCAATTCTAAAGGGTTATCTTTATTTCAACAATTATGGGCCGGTGAGGTGAAATAATTTCATGTTTTCTATGTAGTTCAGCAAACGATTTGCCTTCTTTTGATATTTCTTTTCCTCTATATATATATTCTGATTTCTTTGCTCTAATTAGCTTCATGTTGAAATGTAGGGTACATGTAACATGTCAGGGTATTCACGTCAGGTAAGTAGTAAGTAGAGTTTAATTTGATCATTTCTCATTTCCTTCCTGTTGGTATTTGCCAGAGGAAGAGCCGTTGGTCACTAATACAGTTAAAGGGAGCCGTGGTTCCAGTGTAGATGTAATCCTGGAAACACCATAGAGTTTAATACTGTAGCAGGAGATGTTTCTAGCGCTCTAAAACATAAAGAGTAAACATCAGGACTCCTCTCGTCTCGCCATGTTGGCAGTGAGCAGTCACACTGTCGCATACACAAACACACTTCGTAGTTTCCTCTTGCTTTCTCTCAGTTATTAAACGCCGTGTCTGAGCAATGCTGGACTTTGTTCACGGGCTTTTTCCAGTCACAAGTCCAGGTCACCACCTCGTAGCGCACAGAGTACTCATATAAAAGTGTTGGTTTGGGTGATGGAAAGCTTGTTTTGTTTTGTTAAGAATAGAAAAGAAGCGAACACATCTTTAGACTGCTTGATTGTGGCAAACTTTAAGTCATTATTTTTCTTAGAGTAACATTGAGTTTACGACTATTTGACGCGTTGACTCGTTGTCATTTAGAAAGGAAACCTCTGTAGCCTTTATTTTGAAGCAATAATAGAGAAGCTGGGTCTATACAGAATTTTGTGTTCTCGCAAACAATTCCGTCAGCAGTTGGTTGTGTAGATGTAAAACGGCGATAATAAAAAAGCTTGTCGCTTGTCACCCGTCCGTCCCTGTTGACGATCATTTTGCGTCGGGGGACAGAGGGCGCAGCGGCGCGGGTTTTCTCAAGGTGACCTCGATCCAGTCGCCTTTCACAGAGGAAATACGCCCGGCGAGGGTCAGCGGGCTCAGGGGACAGTTCCCATGCGGGGATCCGTCCCTGACCCGCCTAAAGCTTAACTGGAGCGTCCATGCAAAACTAATGTGATGGTGTTAAGTTGAATATCTTCTTATCATAATTGTTGGAAGCCAAAATCGTAATTGAAATTTGATTTATTTCACAGCCCTTGACAATCAAACATTGAGTGTATGATGTAGACGAAACCTTAATGAGTCTTGATTTCTCTTTCATCTTTCTCGTATACATCAAAATCAGGGGCCCAGTAGAACAAGTTTGGCCATTTGTTTTGGCCTCGGGGAGCTCTTAGAAATGTAGAATATCTGCCGTACGAAGACAAATTTGAATACCGTATCACACAATGTGCTGATGGACACGGCCTCATGTTGGACACGCTCAAAGGTGATCTGAGGATGTTAGTCCTTTCAAGTGGACATCGAGCAGAGAACAGCCCCGAGGAAGACGTGATGGAATTGACCACTTGAGGTAGTTGTGTGTGTGGGGGGGGATTGATTAATGGATGGACACAAGGTTTGGCTGCTATTTAACATTGGATGGACAAACTGACTGTCCTCCTACTCATGTGTGTGTTTTGCCAAGATTTAGAAAAATATTCCAATCTGTGGACACCTTAATTTCATTTTAACACCTCCCTCCTTTCTCCCACACATATATTAGATGAACACAACTACCATTTCTGTCGGTTGTGCTTCATGTTTATTCTGCTGCCGGGCCAAAGGGAAATTAGTATGTTAACTGTAGTTTGTGTAGAACAACAACTCAACTAATTCACGCTAAAATTATTGTTGTTTTTACCCTGAAAAATGAATGTTTTTTCTGAGAGGAAAGCTATTATGTTTTGTGTCCCTTTGCTATTTTTTCTTTGTTTTGTTTGTTGGCATTTCTGGTTAATTTACTGTTGATTATTTCTAACGTATTTACCGACTGCGAAGCACTTTGTAACTCGCTCTTGAAAAGTTCAATACAAGCAAAGATTATTACTCTCAGAGGTGTTCTGTCACTGTGAGTCTAAATCTCAAATACGTTGTGCTGTGGAATTGGCCTAAAGTCGCCCCTCCCACAATGAAACCTCCTCTCTTTTCCACATATGGTACGTCCTTATTAAATTCCTCATTGTCCCCCGATATGATATCCACAGATTAAACCGTAAGGCGGCTACTCATTTCCTCTTGAAAAACGGTTTATCTTGACAAGAAAGTGAACTGACTGGACAACAGCAACAAAGGTTGTAGGTAACTCATCCCTCCTGTGAAGGAGTTAAACACCTGAGGTTTTCTCCACCACTGTCCCTCTGAAGCGTGAAGTGAGTGTCAGTGTTGATTGGTCAGAAGCTGAAATGGTCAGGGAGGGTGTTCTTACTCCGGCCGTCCTAATTCAATGATATATCCAACAATTTAAAGCAGCATGACGAGTAAACATAACAGGGACGTGTAATCACGATAGAAAGTGGGACGCCCCTGAGAAAAGAGTCTTCGGGGTTTCCACCCTGCTCCATTGTTTGGTGCAAGGTTTTCGGTTCATCAGAGCTTTATCACAGCAAACAGCTTCCCGCCGCGTCTCATCTGTCACGCTCCTCTCTGTTTGGTTTCGGCAGCGAAGCGCGGCAGAAGCCAAGACCAAGTGTAGTTGAGTCGAGTCAAGATTTAACTGTGGCTCTAGAAGACACCAAAATAGCAGAATCGTTATTCCAAAAAAATATGGGATGACAGCGACAGTCGGTGCTACTCTTTAGCATAACTCAATACAAGCCAGGAGCCGCGGGCGGAGAGAGCGAGGGAGAGAGAGAGGGGGGAGAGAGAGAGAGAGAGGGGGATGTTGTGATTTACTTTGGTTGACGGGGAATTATACATCAAGAGTATGTGTCGTGTCTGTGACAAGACTAAATCTCTTAAAATGTGAGAGCTGGATTTAAAGATGTGCTGCTCGTTCTGTTGTGAGTCTTGGAATATAATTATTTTTAGTGGTGGATTAATATCAGACATATCAAGCTTTGGGTGCAAAACTGGTTGGTCTTGGACTTTTCATTGAATCGGCAGCAAGAGAAATAAAGGATGTCAGAAGACGAGTCTCTACCTAAACTGTGGCGTTGCCATTTTGTTCTCGCCTCACGATTCAGTCTGACATTCCTTCATTTGATTTTGATCAAAAGCGTTTGTGGGTTTTGTGGACAATGTTGTTACCTTTAAAAGTCGACTTTAATCAGCCTGCATGGGGGGGCCTTTCTCATCTGGCTTTTCCAACAGGAAAACAATCAATCCACCAAGGTGTGATTGCTGCGTTGTACTTCATAACCGGGGCAACAGCCATCAATGTCCACACCGGAACCATTTGAATCCAGGTTAATTTCTACATTTTTTCCAGTGTTTGTTCTGAAAGGGTTACCACAGAACGGAACGAAAAACGCCTTCGATTTAAGAAGTTTACAGGTGCTTCAACTAAAGTGTGGCTGAGACAGACTGCGAGGCCCGGCTCGGGTCGATAGGACCGTGGTAGTTGGTCCTCTGCCTGCGGGAATCTATTCAAACCTTTTATAGAATAAATATTGCAATGGTTGCAAATTGGCATCAGTGCTGGTGGGAGTAGTTTTAATGCAATTTTGCATTTCTTCTTCTTGCATTTTGAAGCCCCGGAGATGTGTCTTACATGTCCTCATTCAAGTCTGGGTGCCGACCTTTGTGTCATTTCATCGCCGCGTCTCTCAGCCAAATGTTTCATGTCAAAAGGATCCAACAGACACAAGGCGCACTACATAAAAGCACTCTTCCTCAGGATCTGCATCATGTAATATGCAGTATGTTGTGTCAAATGTACAAGATCTACGAGACTCACAAAAATGTCGGCCACAGAGTCTCGCGAGGCTCAGCGTCGTCATGCAGTGTCTCCTCGGTGTGCGTGAGGAGTAAGTGGAAGGATGCAGCAGAGCTGTGAGGAGCTGTGACACGACAGTACAACAGTTAAACGCTGTGTGTGTGTGTGTGTGTGTGTGTGTGTGTGTCCGTGCATGTGTATGTTAGTCGCCCCTTTGTGAACACACATGTGCTTTTTGCTCCCATGGCTGCCTTGTGTGTGTGTGTGTGTGTGTGTGTGTGTGTGTGTGTGTGTGTGTGTGTGTGTGTGTGTGTGTGTGTGTGTACAAATGATGGTGCTATATGCTGCTGACTTGTCTCTTTAGCGTCCGTGTGCCGGTGCTGCTGGTGTCGGGGACACATTTTGTTGTAGCTTTTAAGAAGAGAAGAGAGAGAGGAAAAGTCCCCAGAGACTGATGAAGCACATGCACGTGCGCACAGTCACACACACACGCCCACAATGCTCAAAAGTGAAAACGAAAACGAGTTTCTTAAAAGGGAGATTTTGTTTTCCTATAAATTTTCACTTTGTTCAACTTCAACAAAGTTCAACGTTCAAGTGCTTTTCCTGTGTGTGTGTTTGTGTGTGTGCGCACATGAGTGTTGTGTCTCTATTCTCAGCCGACCTGTTGTCTCAGATATCTGAACCCTTACTAACTTATTTCAACAGACACTTTTAAATGGAATCCCCCCCCCCCCCCCTCTCTCCCTCTGCACAGCCTCTGCTCCCAAGCTCCGGCTGATGCGAGGCCAGTCTCTGCTGGAAGGCGACAAGATGCACCTGAAGTGCGAGGCGTCGGGGAGTCCCAGCCCGTCCTTCCGCTGGTACAAAGATGGACACGAGCTTCAGAAAGGCAGAGACCTCAAAATAAAGACCAACAAGTGAGTCGTTCAGACTGGAAGTAGAAAATTGGACTTTTAGCCAGTTGTTTTTTCATTTCATTCATCAACAGAAGGTGTAGCCTCGGGTGTCTTAATACAACACCACATGTTGAGGAGGTCATTGGTCTCGACACATACGTGGACTAAAAATCCACAAATTGCAGTATTATGTGTGGAAAAGGGCATCATAAATATTGAGGCGTGGCGGAGGGAGCCGTCCTGGCAGCTGCATGAACTAGAAATCAACGATAGATACGCGTCAGGATGAAGGTTAGGTTTGGACTGTGTGTGAAATCAAGCTAGATGTTCCTCAATGATCCTCTTTTCCTCTGTTTTATCGCAACATGGCGTCTGTGTTTCACCTCATGCTCATGAGTGAATGTCTTGAACGTTTAAACGTATTTATTTCGGGAGAACATTGTCTTTAATTGTAATCAGTTCCTTTAAAGATCAAGTGAAACTTGTCCGTATGCCTCAATAGCCAAACGCTACGCACATTTGAATATGATTATATTCTTATAGTCTTTTCTTGCTTCTCTGTGCTTTGAACGATGAGTCTGCTGCAACAATAACCTTCTCTTTTTCTTCTGCTCTGTATCACTCTCCCACCCCCTCGTCCCTCCTCCCTGAAGAAAAAACTCAAAGGTGCAGATCAGTCATGTCCGTCTGGAAGACTCTGGCAACTACACCTGTGTGGCGGAAAACTCGCTAGGACAAGAAAACGTCACGAGTATAATCAGCGTGCAGATCTGTGAGCAACGACGCGTCCGTCTCTGTCTCTGTCTGTCTCTCTGCCTTCCCAATCCATCAGGATCACTTTCAACCGTCGCCGCACACTTATACGCTCATACGCTTTGTCGTTAAAGCCTCCGCTCCTCAATATGGGCTGTTCATTTCATGGCTCTTAAAATGCATCCCGGGGCTCTCTGTCCATTTCCCTGAGAGCAACGGTTATCTGCTCTTCTAATGGCTCCTAAACTTTGATCACTATGTATTAAAAACAACAGAGCTATTATTCTGTTAACACCTTTCCGCAAAGACTTCCTTTCGGAATGAAGCGATTAGAATAGAATAGAATGACTTGTGTTTACTATTGAAACTATTTGATGTCCAGTATGCAAGAACCCGATCATCTAAACACAAAATGAATTCATCGACTGCAGTCCGACTACCTGCTTCACCATAAGGCATCTGTCAGGATCAGTTTGTGTAGTCATGGTGAAGCGTTCTCCTGTGTGTTGCGGCAGATTATTTCATAGCATGTGGATATGCAGAGAGCACAAGAGGAGGAACAGGATAATGGATTCCTTGTAAATACATGTGAACGTTTCAAGTTGAAATAGCAGAGGACCCCGGTGTGTTGGGTTGAGGGAGCAGGTCTCTTTCCGCCAGTAGCTGTGAGCTGCAGAGCTGAAGCGAGCACAGGGACGTGACTGATTCCTCCCCAAAAACTAAATAGACTCGTTGCCTGAAGAGGTATGTGGTCTCATGTGGTATGTTAGTGATCCCTGTGGCTGCTACAGCATTGCATCACTGTGTGAATTTAACAAAGAGGTGACAGCGTTCTTGTCCTCTGTGTCCTGCCTCACTGTCCCCTTCACAGTGACCACCACCACCACCACCACCACCCCTTCTCCAGGTGTGAGTCACGCGAGGCGCTGCAACGACTCGGAGAAGGCCCACTGCGTCAACGGAGGAGACTGTTACTTCATACATGGTATTAACCAGCTGTCCTGCAAGTAAGTCTTTGGTTGCCCCGCCCCCCAGTCATCGATGTGTAATTGTTACCCTCGTCTCTCCTGCCCCCCCCACCCTCCCTTACCCTCTGTCTGTGTCTCTCTCTTTCTTGTCTCAGACACCCTGTCGCTCTGCCGTTTCCTTGTTGTACCCTTCCCACCAAAACACACCCGCAGACCACCAAGCCCCTCACTGCGCACCCGTTTCCTTGGCTTCTTATTTACAGTTTTGAGCATTTGTCACAGAGGAAAGGGGTGTTTGTGTAAATCAGAAGCCTCAAGTAGATCAAAACTTTGCCCGTATGGCTGCATGCATTCCATTTGGTTGCTTCTTGGTTTACAGTGGGGGAAGTTTGTGTGTGACTGCTGAACTCAGGAAATGCAAACATGTTAGAAAAGCATGAACAGTTAAATCGATTTTGCTTGTATTGCTATGAAATTTTAAAAATATATTTTTCTTTTTATACTCGAAATGTAATTTTTTTTGTTCAATGAAGCCCAATTATCTTACATCGGAGGCAAACTTCCGCAAAACTGTTGCTTTGCATTCTGCCTGGTATAAGTATGCTGGTAGAACCCAAAAGGAAGGATTAGCGCTGCCCTGCATCCTGTATGTGAGGGTGATGTCCCTGTATGTTTATTCAACCCGACTGTACAGCAGCCCTTATTGTACCCAGTCTGTACAAGCAGGAGCCCTGTGAATGAATCAAAATTAAAAACCACTTTCTGCACAGTACAGTATTGCTCAGAGGAACTTCACAGGCATAAAAAGTTAAATAGGACACCCCGCTGACGTAGAATATTAGCCGGTGCATCCGCTGTCGGTCACTCTGTTGGCATCTAACCACAAAGTGCTCTGCATGCTGAGGGCATCTTGTGAAGCACAGAGGACGATGGAGAAGAGGCTGAAAAACATGCAGTGATTTGGATTGTCCGGAAGTTCGCTCCTTGTGCTGTGCCAGTCCTCGGCATGTCCCTTCAGTGCGTGTCCATATTGCACCAACTTTTGACACTGCATGTCATTGGAACCCCAGCAATACACCCACACGGTGTAAAATGCATCAGCAAGTTAAACATATCATTTGTTAGTGTGAATAATTTGGATTATCAATTGTGGAAATACCAGATATAATAATTGTAAAATATATATATTATTATTATATTGATGTATTCTACTGTGTCATCATCACTCACCTCAGCATTTGCATACAATACAGCACAACCATATTATATAATTACACTGGGTCTTCCAACGAATGACATCTTATAATCTACCAGGAATGAGCACATGTGACCTAATGAGCCTGCCTCCAGTTAGTCTGTCGCCTCCCCGTTGACCGGCGTTAATTAGCATGGTCTTTCTTTTGGTTGACGTTAGCCAGCTGATGATGGTGGTAGTGGAACATGTGCGATGAGATTACCAGAACATTTCTATTATCCCGGCAAAGTAGGCTCCCACCCAGATAAGTTTGACAAACAACTAAAAATTCACTGGTCAAAATATTCAGTTAACGCCAAGTTGAACCTCCCTTTTGCTGGATAAACATTAGTCTTCCAACTATTCTTAACTTTTCACTGTGACATTCTGTCATCGTGTTTTGCGATGTCCCAGTAGGGAGGAAACAGGACAAGACACTTAACAGAGTAATGTTCACATTCATGGCAAGCAGGACCTGAAATGTAGTAACAACTGCTCCTGCATTGACGCAGACTGGGGGGGTTAACATGGTTCACTGCAGGCTAAGTATCTAGTCCTCCTTTTTCTGGCTTTAGGAAATCAACTGCTAACATAAATGCATCACTTCCTGTGAGTGGGAGGATTATTTTTCAGGAAAGAGGTACCAGACTAGTAGGTGTTCAGAACAGCAAGTGCAAAAACCCCAGATGAATCACTGCTGTGTTAAATCAACTTATTACTTGGACATTATTTATGTGAGCATGTTACTGTTACAGCAAATACATAATAATAAGTAATAGAATAATGCACATGTTGGCAACGTGGCATAACAGTTGGACATTGCCGATTTGTATAGAGTATTCTAATGACCGTAAGCCATATTCAGTTTTTTTAAATACAAATTGTATTTTTAACCTTTGTGTAAACTTGAGTTAAAACAGAAGGTGTAGCTTTTTCAAAGAAATGTATAATAATTAAACTGGAGGTTGCAATCTTTCAGTTTGTACTATACATACATCCACATACATTTTGTAGACGTGTATCAACCACTTCCCCCCGATGTTGGATAGCAGATGGAGTGCATAGGTGTGCATAATCAAGAGCTTTGTTGTCTGATGTTCCATGTGCAATTGGATGTGTCTTCTAGAAATCCATCCTTAGATCCTTCGGTGCCTCCTTCAGATCTACACTCTTTGTTTCTTCATTTGCATTTCCCTCTTATTACGTCTGCACGGAGCAGTTTGTTCTCACGTCTTGTGTGTATTTAAAAACAAGACAGTGGTGGTTACAAATAACTTGTTGTTCCATCAACTCCATCTGGAAGACATTTAAAATTAAAAGAGATCGCTTACATCCTCCATTTCTCCCCAAGTTCTTGTCTATTTGCTTTCATGCGAGCCGCTGCAGCACTCTTAGGCCCGCCCCCAAACGCTGTCATTGGTTGTGACGCCCCTCCTCAAGCCAATGCTGATCAACATTGCACCCTGACTGTGACCCATTGTGTGTCTGTAGATTTATTCAGAGCCACAAAATAATAATTATTAAAAAAAACACTGCGTTAATAAGCAATAAAGTAGATGTTGGCGTTAATTAATAAATATGTTAACACAATATTAATGCTTTAATGCATAATATATACGTATATAAATGAGTGCCCATATATGTGTGTGTATATATATATGTATATATATATATATATATATATATCGCTCTCACTCCCCCTGCCTTTCTCTCTACTTCCCATCTGATAAACCTTCCGGTCATTGCTGAAGGATAAATCTTTTTTTTCATGATGCTGACAAGCAGAAAACTTTGTTTGAGAGGGTGCATATAGACATTACGAGATGCAACAGGATAGCAAAGGCGTAGCGGACCGCCCAGCAGTTCCCAGAGAGTTACTGTTGCTTGGCAGCTTTGTCATCCTTTGTTGGCCTGTCTGTTTGGGCCACTGGATAACAGGACGTAAATAAGGCCGCTGTCTGTAGTCCGTCTCCTCGGCTTGTTTACTTCAGACAATTTTGAACCCCGACTCACACTCACACGCCAAGCCCCTCGTCCTCCTGCACAACGGCTGCAAATCACTGCACCGTACTCGCAAGCAGCAACAAATTGTTAATATCCCCAAATTTAGGTGGTATTTCCAAGCAATTTTGTGGCAACTATGGAAACGTACATCCTCCTCCCTGTAGGGTAAAGTTATGCTTTACTGCAAAATGGAGTCTCTAGGTTAAAGTGGAGGACGGCACATATAGAGAAAGGCACCCTGGCTGAAACAGAGAGTGGAGGTTAAACATGCCCATGGCGAGCTGTTGATAGTCAGAGCTCGGCACGTCTTGCTTTCTCCATCTTCCTTTAACCTGCGTTGAAGCTTTCTGTAAAGAGTGGCAGATAGCGCTGATTCGGATCGATCTGGACATTGTTGCTGAACTCCAGTCCGGCTGCCAGCCGTAAACGTTAGCCCGGCTATAGGTTGAAAATGCCAAATTCCCCATTTGAATCAATAAAGTTCTTTTGATCTAATCTTATCGGTAAATGCCAAGAGCTGAGGCCAGTATTGATGCCTGGACATAATGTCATAACGGCTGTCTGAGTGTGCGTGTGTGTGTGTGTGTGTGCGTGTGTGTGTGTGTGTGTGTGTGTGTGTGTGTGTGTGTGTGTGTGTGTGTGTGTGTGTGTGTGTGTGTGTGTGTGTGTGTGTGCATGTGTGTGTGTTCATTTTGATCTGCGTATGTTGAATGTAACTAAATGAGTCACAGGCTTTGATTTCATTCAGGTGGCTGCACCAAGAGGTGTGTTGGCTGTTCTTCCCCTGTGTGCGTGTTCTGGGGGCTGAGAGAACAGTACAGTACAGAGTGTGGTTGGGGGTTGGAGGGAGGCTGAAATAAATGATATACAGTAAAATCTCTGCCGGCATTGGGCTGCCTCTGCTCCGAGTGTCTCCCACCTCTCTCTCTCTGCTCTATTTATAACTCTATGGGAAATTGCTGAGTGGGCTCTTCTGAGTTTTTTTTTTTTTTGCTGTAATTGATTCAAAATGCAAGATGTCTCTTTAGTGGTGAGAAAGAGGAGAAAAGGATTCCCCTTCAGTTATATGGACCATGTATACATGGGGATACACGGGGGTCGCTTCTTATTAAACTGTATACATTTGATGATACTAAATCGGTGTAATAAATAGAACATGGTTATTAGCGCCAGGGAGCCTCTGTTATCCTATAATAACCGTAATGGGGCCACACCCATGATATCATAACACTGTGGTTCGTCAACTGCCGTGATTCATCTTCAGTATAATGTGCACTGCAGTTGGACCCCGTTTTCCATAACATGCCTATTCGACTGCAGTAAACGCTGATCTACCATCACTTATGGCCATAACGAGATTAAATCAATCGGGGTAAAAGCCATGACACTCATTATTACACGTAATTCAAGACATTTCAGAAATCAAAGCACTCTCTCAAAAAGACTTTCTCAAGGACATTAATTGAAATGAGGTCCTGTAGATTTTTATTCAACAAAGCTGATAATAATAATTAGAAAAGAAAGGCTGCATCAATACTGAGCGTCAAAAGTAAGAACAATGGCAATGCTGTTATTTATGCCCCCCAAATACCCAATCATATCCAAACATTTTCACGCTTGCACGCTGTGAAGGGCTCAGTGTGTGTGTTTGTCTATCTTAGAACTCCATTCTTGTAAAAAAAACAGTAAGACTGTGTCGGTAGGTCATTTTGAGGCTTATAACACAGGGTTCATTTAGGGATTTGTTGTCGTGACGAGTTTGTGAAGGATCATCACGCCAAACACACATTACACAAAGCAACCATTGTTCTTTTCATTGCACTCTCCTTAAGCAGCGCATGTGCATGATGGAACGGGGCACACTGCTTTGATTTCCTGCTGGGTGTTTGCACGCAAAGCTTCATTAAACCTCCAAACACACTGACCTCTGAAAGGCACATTCAACGACCTCTAACCACCACTATACACTGCGAGTGTTGATGAACACATAATATTCCATCTTCCGTCCATATTTTGTACAATTAGAACACGATTAGAAGACGTTTATTTGTGTTTTTTGTAGTGACACTGAATGAAATGACTGCAGGTTTGCATGCGTCATCGAGCTTGCTTTGTCCACTTTATGGGAATATCAGACAGTGTTATTCAACTTTGTTGCGGTCCAGTCTGAGTTTGACTATTATGCAGATCCCGACCGCCTTAGTGACGTGTGGTGTGTGTGACTATATATATTTTGGGAGGATTATTTGACCGTGCCTGACGAAGTGAAAGGTCAAAACGTTTCTCCATCAAACACACCTGCAGGGAGTGTGCAGTGTGCAGGTCTGTTTTGCAGTTCGTTCTGTTTTCTGGTCCAGCACTTTGTTTTTGCATGTTTGCCATCCAGTTTACAGCTCTTTTTGACCTTATTTTTAGCAGGAAAAAAGCAGGAAGCTGCTTTCAATGAAAAGCACATTTTAACCTTCTGTGTGAAAACACACATTGTTAGAGATGAAGATGAAGATGAAGATGAGTCTGGCCAAACGATGTGTACCGGTTATGACTTAATATACGGTGCAATGTCAGACACTGTCAGCAACAGGATATATTGTGGCTTTTTCAGGAAAACCGTCACAGTACAAAGAACATCATCGTAATCTTAGCTAAAAACAGTTTGATATTTTTTCATGCAATTAAAACAGTGGGATCTACATTCACAATAATCACATCACCGAACATCATAGAAAAACTTATTATGCGTCTTTGCACACAGTTTTTATTCAAGAATTAATAGCAATATTAGAAATATTTCTTTCCACTTATTGAGACTCACCACCCGGTCAGGTGGTTTTATTTTATAGTCAACGGCCGCATAGATCGGCAAAAACTGACCTTGTGAAACGTTTTAGTTTTTACAGACATGATTAATACCGTACTTAAAAGCTTTCCTTTGCTTTGCTCTTTATATTTCATCCTGGTTTTACTAAGAAATGGATGCAACAAATGAGTGTGCAGTATAAGGCAATCATGGGTGACTGAGTGTGTACTTGTGTGCATCGGTGTTTGTGCGTAAAGGGGTCGGAGGCCGACAACCCTACATTGGGCCCCTCCTACTTCCTGCGCCACCATCACATGACCCCTGTGACTGTGATGATGTCTTAACTGTAGCAGTGAGGTCATATTGATGCCGGTGATGTCACGGTATGCAGGTCATCTCTCTCTCTGTGGTCGGTGGATTGTGCTGTTTCTAATCCCTCATCTCTCTGCTCTCTTATGTCTCCCTCCTCCTCTTCCTCTTTTTCTCCCCTCCTCTTCTCAATCCGTCTTTGTGTACTTCTCCTGCTCTGTCTTTCCTTCTGTTTGACCCCCCTTTCTTCCCTCTATATCTTTAACCCCCGTCCCCAACCCCCACCCTTTGTGTCTTGTTTTCCCTCCATCAGGTGTCCCAATGACTATACGGGGGACCGCTGTCAAAACTCCGTCATGGCAGATTTCTACAGTATGTCCATTTGCTCTTGTCTGTCTCCTTCTCACTGAGATGCTGCATGATACATTGGAGGGGTTGAATGGAGGGAGCGCTCTGTGTGTGTTTGTGTGTGTTCAGCGAGTGTGTGTGTGTGATTTGCATGCCTCTGTGTCCACCCCTTTCTGTCCCTGTCTTCGCTGGTTCTTCCGTGGTGCTCCTCTGGTCAGAGACAGGCAGTCGAGATGTCTTATGGGCATCCCACATGCCTGGAAGCTGTTCTAAGAAGTCCCAGAATTTAAAAACTCAACAATGAGCATATTTATATTGTGCCTACTTCGACTTTTTAAAAGTTCTGTATCATCAAGCTGTAAGTTTCACTCAAAATAGTTCTATTGCAGCTTGATCCAGAGAGCTGCACAAAAGGAAACGGAAGAGACAGAGAACACAATAGTAAATGCAACAGGTCGTTTGCTTTTATTTGTCTTTGTTCTTCTTCTATGGTCTATTGGTGCTGTTTAGAGTTTCGGCAGTGAAACAGAAGCCATTAAATATAATCTATTTGGATGAAAGCTATTAATACAGCGCTGACAGCTCTCACTCTGTGCTGTGCCTCTCTCTTAAACATGGAGAGAAATCATTGATTTTACCTTTTGGAGTAGGAGCACGACTGACAATTGAAGGCTTAAGAAGGGGAACAATGTGAGTCCTTCTGACATTGTTCTGAACAGCCGCCAGTCACTACTAGAAGCTACTCAATACCCAAATTATTTGGCAAGCGAATGACAATGGGATTTAGAGTTAATATACGTTCAACATTTCGAGTCCTAATATAATGACATTTGAAAACATCACATATGATTACATTCCTCTAAGATACCCTTTGTGATATTGATTTTTATATAAGCAGAGATTCATGATATTATATCAGTGGAACCTGATAGGAATTGGGATAAATCATACAGTAATGTTTTTGGTATTGTGTTGTTTTCTCTCTGAGCATCCATGGATCATCAGATGAAATATGTTATCATGGCATGTGGCTAAATGTTGCCTGAACAGTCCGACGTTGTCTTCTAATATGTTCAAAAGTGTGTCACATGTTCTGCATCATGTCACAGAGGAATTGAATTAAACGAGTAGTTTGACATTTTTGTGACATGCTCTTAATGGCTTCCGTTCGTATGTTTTATATGAAACACCAGCCAGGAAATATTCACTGCCAAAATACAGTGTTTAAATAGTTAAACAGCTAATACAAGACACAACCACCTCAAAGGTAACATTTTAGTAAGACAAAGGGGCTTGTTTTTAGGCTACACATCTTGTGATAACACTAGTGAACAGTAGTGACTTTTCCTTGCTAACTTCAACATCTCTTGTTTTCCTTTGGAGGCCATAATTGTATCTCATTTAAAGAATTTTTACCAAACATATTTTTACTTCTTACATAGGACAAAACCCTTGTCTTTAGCGTTTGGTTTTTCTTTTTACTTATTAATGACCTTTTTTTAATTGTTGGGCTTAGTTTAGCATGAAAACTGAAAACCAGTAGCCGTCCCCAAAGGCAACAAAATCCCCCAGCTGGCCCTTGTTTTGTTTAAAACTATATATCATGTCAATTTGTTAAAAATGGAACATGATTTTATAGAAACTCAGTATATTCAAAATGCTTTCCTTTTTTCCAGGGGCAGTGATATCAAATCACTCTCGCTAATAGCCCGAGTTCGCCTCAGCATACAGCCAGGCTAAGCTAAGCTAGGCTAACAGTGTCCTGGCTAAAGCTTCGTATTTACTGTAGTAAATCAACAGTGGTATCAAAGTTCTGTCAGCAAAGAACACAACAGATCCTCATTCTCAAAATGTCTCGCTATTCCTTTAAATCCCGGGGAAGCTAATGGTCACTCTCCTGTGATTGCATGGGCAGACACACAGAAACACATTCATCCGTACTGCTAAGCAACAAGAGACCCCACGACACGTGCAACAAAAAGGAATTCGCACTGCACAGAAGTGTCAATGTTTCCTTTAGGCCTTGCAACCTTCATACAACCCAAAGTGCTGCTCCCTCCATGGACTGTGTCTTGTTACTGGCCCAGCAATCACGGGAGATGAAACAAATGACCCTCTTCTTCTTTCCTCCAGCGAACCTACATTGTTGTTCCATGCCACGGTGTCTTTCTCTGCCGTTTGTTTTTTTGGTGAAAGTGTACACAGGGAAAAATGTCTTATTCAAACTTCAGACCAGGTTTCACGCCATAAGAAATCACGCTGTATGTAATGTCTGCTTACGTTGACCCCATCATCCAGCTTTGGCTACATGCTGAAAACCTGTCCGTGTGCTTGTATTTTGCATCGCGGCACTCTCTCAGCCGGTTGCCTTGGATCCATGTCGCTTTGTTGTCTGCCTGTTTTTCTAATGGCGCAATCATAACGCGCCGTCAAAATGTACAGTTGTTATGGTGAGGGTGCACATGGTTGGCTGGCTTGCGGAATGGGCATCTCTGTAATGCATGCAGAGCCATGGAAATTGGGAATGTTGAGAAGTTTTTCCCTGCAAATCGTAAATCTTATGAATAGTTATAATAGCTGTACCCAGCAGCAGCAGGACAAAGTGCTATACAAGAGGTATGCTCTAATCAATACAAAGGCACACAATTGCCATTAGTCAAACGAGTTACAGCACCCGCCCCCATTTGCCTTGCCAGCCTTATCGACTGTACAGGGTTTTTATGTTGGAGAGTAACTCAGTGCCTTTTATCTTACGTTCTTTTCCTTTTGTCTTGTTTTCTTTTTTTATTATTTCTGTTGCGTCTGTTGTTTACTCCAGAAATAAGGTGTAGTAAATATAGCAGTACGTGATGTGGCTTCCTGTCTTCGTGCGTCTGTCTCCGCATGCCTCTTCCTGCCAGTTGGCTTCTTTTTCCTTCTGCCTTTGCTTCATTTTACCCTTTTTTGCTTTAGACTTTGTTTGGTTCGTTTGTTTTTTCCTTTCATTCTGGGGGTCACAGAGCTGAGGCTGTCTGAGTTGTCTGTTTGTTACTGGACGGTACACACCTCAATCCCTATGATTGACTGCACTAATTGACGTATCCTGGTTTACAGGACATGAGAATAATATTTTTGCTCCAAAGTGGACTTTACACCTGACCCTATCTGTCTCTTTCCTTTTTACCACAACAACTTTCTGCGCTGGCAGAGCTTCTCAGAATTGAATTTATGGGTATGGAACATTATTATTCATTTTGCTGTGCTTAAAGGGTTTGCCAAGATCCTATCACAGTCACACATTATTGTCCCATCTTCTTTCTAAAACCAACAACTGGGTCTCCCTCAACCTGTCCCTCTTTTTCTCCTGCCCACTAACCTGCTTCTGAGACACGTCACCTCCCTCCTCCGCATGCACTCCTCCCACAGTCTGACAAGTTTAGACGTTCGAGAAAGACAAATTAACTGGGAAGAATTCATTAATGAAGGAAAGTACTAGAGAGCACTGGGCCTGTCACAAATCAAAGCCGTGTTTATCTGGATGCCGCGTCAGAGCAAAAGCTCCCCTCTTCGTCCAGAAACAGCAGAATGTTTCACATCTTCGACAAAGTGTCTGGCTCGTCCTCTGGGCTTTGGCAATGTGCATATTGGCTTCAGCAGCCTGCTCCAATGAAAACATGCAAGCTGCGAGTATATTTGCAAAGCGTTGCCAAAAGCGGGCAAAAAGGCCTGACCAAGTAGTCGGTGCGTATTATTCTGCCCTTGATTGACTCGGTGTCAGAGTCGAGCGCTCACCCGTCCTAAATCACCGTCGCTGTTGGCTCCACTGTGCCAGCGAGCGCGCCTTCCCATTTCCTTTGGCCTCTCTGTATCAGTAGCCAGTGACACCCACACAATGCCGAGCCGAGGCTCTCGTAGGCTTGTCAATCCCTACAGAGGCCCTTTATTTAGAGCCCTCCCTGCCGTCCCCCCCCGCCCCCTCCCTCCGCATCCTTTTCACTGGTGTGTCTAGAGCTTTGTCGAGGGGCGAGAAATAGTGAGACAATGAATTAGATAAAAGGCAACATTTTTCGATCTGATCTCAGAAATACAATGAATCAATACATCAGCTTTCTGAAGGTTTAAGAACCACAACTACATGAATAGACAGACGGCTACAGAATGCAGACTGTTTCAGTGTTCGTCCAAAGTGAGAAGAATCATTGAGATAAACAACAGAAGCAGATTGATGACATTGAAAAGCAATAATTGATTGTCAGGGGATTTCATTTGGCCATAACTAACCGCTTTAGATGACAAGGTGACAACGTCTGGGCCTTTCTCCCGGACACGCCCCCCCTCTCCCACTGTCTACATGTATTCTCCTGCTCCTTCTTCCTCACCAGCCTTTCTTTCTATTATTTCCTCCCTCTGTCCACATGTTCTGTTTCCTTTGTTGCTCCCCCTGTCATGGTGTCGCTGCTCTTTTCATGCAGACACAGAGTGTTGCACCGCGGCGGGCCCAGAAATCTGAATGATCATGAAGGCACCAAAGTAGCCGCGTATTCGCAGCGCCGCGCCACAAACCTGTTAGAACGTAACGAGTCTTAGGTAGTTTACAGTTCAGCGTAATTCAATCCAAATCGAGAGGTTCCAGAAGACGAGCTCTTACTAGGACATAAAAGAACCGCAAATAGTCAAATGTCAAAAGAAAAAATACATTCAAAAATTGTTTCTTTCAAAAAAAATGTTTTTAAATGATATAATATGTATATTATGTTAATATAATATTGTTTCAAAATGAAGGTGATTATCTGAGGCCAAAGCAGTCAAATTATTATGAAAATTAAAACAAGCGCTCATAAACAATTAACAATAGAAATATTGTAAAACATGGTAGGACAACTTCACTTCAACATTTGGGAAAGTACAACAGAAACAAAGCGAAAGCTTGTAAACTAAAAAAAAAAACTTTGTTTAAAATTGGCATTAAGGCTACAAAAACATTATTCATAAAATAACTGAAAATACTGTTTTTCCAACCTTCAGTGGTTTAATTTTTCACCACGCTGCAGTGATGTAGAACAGTTCTACAGGGTCTTTTGACACGACGATTGGAAGATCAAATCCTGCAGCTCAATCTGTGGACCTGGGGTTGAAATAGGAAGCTCTTGATACCCCTCTGGTGTCACTTTTAAAAGATCAGCAACGTGTCAAACTTTTCATCTTATCCGGTAAAAAACAGTCTTAACTCATACGCATCAAGTCTCTTCAGAATGAACTTGCATTGACTTTAGATAGTTAGTTAGTTTACAGTCACAAGGCAAAAGTCTCTCTCGCATGGTCACTTTGTTGACAGCTATAGTTAACGTGAGCTTTGTGAATTCTGAACATATTCTCAGGCCAATGCGGTGTCAACACTTTGAACAAAAAAACTCCCTCTTTTTTTTCCAAGACGACTTGTCTCTTGATGACTCCATCCATACAGGCATGCATTCAGATCCCCCCAGTGCCTTCATCACATCCCCATTACCATTGTCAAATCATGTGTGTTGCAACAGCAGGAGGTCTGTGTCAGGATGCAGGTCGACAGCTCTGCTTTCATCGTTATACTCACAAGCTTGTCGAGTTACCCCTGTGTTGTATTAGCAGTAGTACTGTTAGACTGAAGTACAGTTAAAACTGAAAGGCTTGTGACATGATAGTTGTTTCATATGCAGCACAGGGGACAGGATGGCAGCAGATAATAGGTAGAAAACTGTTTCTGTAGCTACCATCAATGGAGCAGCGCTCATGCTGTTGTGTGTGTGTGTGTGTGTGTGTGTGTGTGTGTGTGTGTGTGTGTGTGTGTGTGTGTGTGTGCGTGCGTGCTTGTGTATTCTCGTCTGTCTCGTGATTGTCTGTCTGCAAACCGTGGATGTGTGCGAACGTGTGCGCGTGTTTCCGTCCACAGAGGCCGAGGAGCTCTATCAGAGGCGGGTGCTGACGATCACGGGCATATGCGTGGCCCTGCTGGTGGTTGGCATCGTTTGTGTGGTGGCCTACTGCAAAACCAAGTACGTGTCTTTGTTGGGAATTCTGGCAGTACACAACCCACCCCTGATTAATAGGGGAGTAAAGAAGGGCACAGGGAGAACATGCTAACTCCACATGGAAAGGTCCCAGCAGCTGGGCGGGTTGGAACCCAGGACCTTCTAGCTGTCAGGGGACACTGCTAATAACCACCACACCACCGTGCTGGTTTGCAGCATGATATAAAAGAAGGAAATAAATATGATTCAAAAACCATTAAATACCCAATCACACCATGTGATTATCAAGTGATAAGTAAACTGCTATAAAAGAAGGTATAGCGGAAGCTAAGAGGACAGATCTCACTCATTGTTCCCTCATCACCCCCTCCGCCCCCCTTCATCCCCCCTTCATCCCCCCTCAGGAAGCAGAGGAAGAAGATGCACAGTCACCTACACCAGAACCAGAACCAAAACCAGAATCAGTGTGTAGAGCAACCCAACCGCATGCTGCCCAACGGACCCAAACACCCCGGCCCAGAGGAGATCCCCATGGGTGATGTGAGTAGAGTGCAAAGACACAGGCGACCGCACACAGGTGACCCTGAGGTCAGGTGTACCTGGTGGGCTGGAAGTGAAGTCACCTCCTGGCGACCCGGCTGCTCGTGCTGAGGAGGTCACCACTGACAGGGTCAAGAGCTGCTCAAAGCCAGAAATAAATAACTAACCACCTATTTTAAAATACGCAACAGGTTTAACTGGTTAGATCGCATATCCGGAATTTCGGAAAAGTTACTCACTTCATGCCATCGGTGGCACGTTGTGTTATAAGGCTTTCTTGCATTTCCTGTAAGAAAGCCTCACTGTGCTGTGAATACAACTGCTAGTTAAGCTCAGACTTTGTGCCGAAGCGGATGCGGTATCAGTGGGGCTCCTGGGAGCCAACAATAGCAATAATACAGTAAAACAAAGCAATATATTTACAATGATCTAATAGCTCCTAATCAAGATGCAGACACGTCACATTTTGTAATATCCAGATTGATTTTTCTTTCTTACTAGAACTGCCGCTGGGATGAAGCCAGTTTTGCTTTTGAACTATCCATAAATAGGATTTATTTTTTCATGCTAAAGGAGTGATCATCTGGGCAGACGGCACAGAAGGCACCTGGTTCATATCTCCTTAGATGGTCACTGGTAGACTTAGCTTTGCCATTTAACTCAACAAGATGGTTGTTTCAGCCTTCAGAAGTCTTTGAATAAAGCTCCGATCCACTGACAACTTTTGTTATGGGGACACGAGACTGGTTAACTTTAAAGACGGAAACACCTACCATTCTCCTGGAGACTAAATGTGCATGAGCCAGTATGAAAGCAACAATGAACAAGAGGTGATGATGAGAATCATCTCATTATTAGATATGACTTTATATGGATGTGTACTCAACCATTGTGAGCTATTTGCTCTTTGGAAAATTTAAAAAATAGCAAAAATATATTCAAATTGTTTTGTGTGCACGCGTGCGTTGCAGTACATCTCCAAGAGCGTCCCAACGACAGAGTGTGTCATCAGCCACGGCGCCGAGGGCGCGGGCAACTACGCAGGCAGCCGAATGTCAACCCGCTCCCACCACTCTACCACTGCCTCGCATGCTTCCAGGTACACCTGCAACACACACAGATGTATTGAGCGAATGCAATGCAGAGTTTGCAGTCGGTGCACAAATAAACGCCACTGCTTCTCAAGACCAACAATCTATTTCGCCTGTTGTGTTTGCGTGATGGAGGTGTGTAAAGACAAGGCGATGCATCCTGGTTAGGCACTGCCAGAATAGAGCGGTATGTAGAGTGGGATAAATCAGCTTCTTAGGTCAGAATAGAATGCATTGAGGAATTTATTGCTATAAATGAATACATTTCATACCCTGATCAAACATCTATATAAACGGCGTATGTGGATTTTACAGGAACCTGTTTATTAGAAAGTGTCTGAGGTCAGAGACGATGGCACTGATGGCTTTACATCATCCTCAGGAACATTGTTTCAAGTTTTTTAGTTTTTGACAAAAAATTATAATTTCTCACCACTGGAGGGCAGAATATTGACTTTATGGACTTAATGCAATGCACATTGATATACTATATGAACCTGTGGCTAACACACTGGTCAAAACAGGCACATATGGCAACACAGAGAGCAACATACGCCTCCCATTGGTCGAATACTGAATGACATCCGGCCTGTTCATTAATTCATCCATGCTGGACGAGTAGTGTTTAATCAGATTAAGTGGCTGTTAATTGTCAATAGGAGTCAAAATAATCACTTCATTGTGCTTTGATGGTGCGTGCATGGGAACATTTTTGCAGTTCATTCTCCTGCCTCGGTAGCACTGCTGTAACCTTTCAAACTTGTTCTCCTAACACCCACACCTGCAGACACGAGGAGCAGACGTGGAGCATGGAGCGAACAGACAGCATGAACTCAGACTGCCAGTCAGGTGGGCTGTCCAGCTCTGTGGGAACCAGTAAGTGCAGCAGCCCGGCATGCATGGCGAGGAGGGCTGCCCACTGGACGGACATGTCCGGTCCGGGGATGCAGTACGGGGACTCTTACGACTCTCTAAGAGACTCGCCTCACAGTGACCGGTAGGTAATGTCGACCTGCGTGTGTGTGTGTGTGTGTGTGTGCGCGTGGTGTTGTTATTTAACACTGTCTCGGGTTCATGACTATCCAATCTTTTACCTTGTTATGTTTTTCATCACACCGTCCTCTCTTTGGCGACACCAAGTGTCACTTATTTGTTAGGAATTTTGTTCACTTTTCGAAAAGTGTGGGATTTACTTTAGTTTTGTTCTTGTCTTGCTTATTTTATCATTTCATTCAAAGGAGTTCCAAAATAATTTTAATAGCACAAAAATGAAATCAATGTAGTACCATATTCAAATTTTTGTGGCATAACTGCATTAACAACTGAGCTCAGTGAGGTGCCGCAGTCATACACTCTTATTCTTGGATTGAGTGGGTGGCGAGGTGGCTCAGCAGATAATACCGTCGTTTAAAGGCAAAAAGGTCAACACCTGCGAGCCGGAGGCGGCTGGCTGTTCGGGGTTTCTATATTTCCAACCACGTCCAAAGAGTGGCGGGTTAAGTGGACTGGAAGCCCCCAAAGGGGCTGCAGGCGTGAATGTTGTCGGCGCGTGCCCCCCCTTCTAGCCCCTTGCACGCTGGGTAGACTCCAGCCCCCACGGTAAGTGGTCGGAAAACAGACCGATGGCACTCGCTGACATAAGTGGCAGACACTAAAAGTGTTTTTTTTTTACAACAGAAAAGTGCATCTCAACTGCCCCAACCACGCCCTACACCCCGCCTCCACCACCACCACCACCCACCCGCACTTTTGTATCCCAATCAGAACCCGCAATAATCTCCCACTGTCTTCCCCGCTCAGGTACGTGTCGGCGCTGACCACGCCAGCGCGCCTCTCTCCGGTGGAGTTCCACTACCCCCCGTTGCCGCCACAGGTGCCCACCTTTCAGATCACCTCGCCCAACACAAGCCACGCCCTCTCCCTGCCCCCAGCCGCAGCCGCCTACCATAGAGAGGACGACCAGCCGCTGCTACGATGCCCCGATGTGCGTATGCTGACGTAGTCCACCAATACTGATGGCGGGAATGGTTTATGATAATACAAGAGACACAATTTCAGCGTCATGGTGAAATTTGACAACATAAAAATGAATGAATTTGCCTCAAGTAAACCAAAATGTTAGCAGGTAAGAATTGTTGACAAATCTAGACACATTCTGTAAATAACTGCACTTGCAGTTTGACTCCATGCGTCATTTACTTTGAGCTGAAATCCTTGTTAGTTGACGTTAAATTATATTAATGGCTGAGAAGAAACGTTACTTGGCAGAGTAAGAAACACAGGGCTGCAGCCTCCCCTCAAGTATGATGATGGGCTATTGGACTGTAATTTGAAGGAGGATAAAACATACAAACCAGAAACCAAAAAAAATACGTAGCATGTTAACTTGTCCATGTGAGAAACAATAGTTTAATTTAATTACATTACCAAAGGAAATATTATCATATACAGTATATATACATACTTTTTATAGCCAATAATGCCGTCAGCTAAGGGATAGAGGAATGGATTTTCTTTATTGTCGACGAATCCCATGGAGCCCAAAGCAGCACTGCTTTCCAAATAAGGACAAAATCATTTAAAAAACATCTGGACAGTGTAGTTTTTAGTTAGTATTATTTAAAAATGAATAATACACTTAGTGCTGCAGTGAGGAGTCACGGCAGCATCACGGTGTATGTGGGATCAACTCAACCCAACAGTGGGTCACGCCGATGTGTTTCTTACTGTTTTTACAAATGGGGATCGGCCTTTCTACGCTAGCCATTAGGATCATGTGTTATTGTGAGCAAAGCAAGTGTTTCATAATGGCAAAAATGACCAGTTCAAATGTTAAGTCACTCCATCTACAGCAGCGTGGTTGTTATTTGAGAAAGAGGGAGGCCAGACATTTACGCCCAAAGTACACGTCTTTGAATGCCCATCACTGTCCAGAAGAAAAGGTCCCTATTCCAGCTTTGGCAACAGGTGCCGAAAGAGAGTCTTACAATGTTGGTGAAGCTTTTCAGAGATGGAGAGAAAATAGTACATATCACTTCTGCTAAACGCAACCAAAGGCTCCCGGCTGCGATTACGGTGAGAGTTCAAAAAACATTTTGTCTCCATGTCTCTTATAGTTTTGGCTTCTGCGTGAGCGATCAGCTCAAGTGTAACAGCCAACTTATTAATAGCAGCGTATTGATGAGCTGGAGACTTTCTCTTTCTGTTCTGGCACCCAACAACACAGCAACATGGCACTTTGACCTGTAGTTTTAGACCACTACTCTGAGGGGACTTTAATCTTACCGTTCAAACCCCTGTTTTGACATCCACCCTGCAGAAGTTCCCTTGAGCAAACATAAATATTTAACATATGCATTTTCCATCAAAACCTCCACTGTGTCTTGTGTTTTAGGACGGGAGTTTATACAGACAGCCTCGGCGCCCGCGGCGGCCCTACCTGACGGAGAGCACAGGAAGTCTACCGTCCAGCCCCTACCGTCTCCCTGACGACGAGGCCTACGAGACCACGCAGGAGTACGCCTCCTCGCGGGAACCCATCAGGAGCCGGCGGCGCCCGCGACGCAACCGCCTCAATGGACACATCTCCCAGCGTTCAATGGGTCTACGGGACTACAGCTCGCAGAGCTTCAGCCAGTCCGACGAGGAGGAGGAGGAGGAAGAGGAGGACGAAGAGGACGCTCACGGGGAGAGCACGCCTTTCCTTAGTATGCAGAACATGAACATGGACCCGCCCCTGACCGGCCCAGGTTACCGCGCCTCAACCGGTGCGGACACACGGACTCACCGCGGGCTGAGTAGTCGACCACCGACACGCAGCAACGGGCAGAGCCGCGGCTCGCAGCCGCAGCGCTCCAAGGCTGATAACGTGCCCCTTTAAGACTTAACCCCCCCCCCCACACACACACACACACACACACACAACACCACCCACCCCTCCACCTCACACACTCCCCTTCCTCCTTCTGTACACAACCAGTGGACTAGAGATCTGCAACTAGGAGAAATATTTTTATTTTGTATAACAGACAGATATTCTAAACAAATGAAATATTTATTTTCATTTCAGCAAAAATTGTCTACTAGCTAACAGCAAAGACTTTTTTTATAAGGGGGGAAATATTTCTATGTAAAGTTTTTTGATTTACAGCATTATGAGCGATGAAAAAATAAGAGAATTACGTGCCAATTTTTTCACAAGTTAGATAAATAGAATAATATTGTGGTGCCTTTTGCTGTATGCTGAAGTCGGAGGTCCCATTGAGTTTTTGTAGCCTTTCTTATAAAGACTCCTCGTTTTTATAGACCAACCCTCTTCCTTCCTTTTGCTTTGGTTTTTTCTCTGATTTGGGATCTTCCTCTTTTTGAACTGTGATCTGATTATGTCATCATGCAATATTGATTCCTCCTGTGTAAAAGGTGTCTGTTTACATGAGTATGATCCACGCGGCGCGCTCGATTCACAGGGACATTAGTCACTGACGCAACCGGAAGTGTAGGGTAGTTTTCCCCGGGTGAATCACATCGACCATTTATGTCCTTGTTCGCTGCCTGTCAGTCATTAGGCGTTATTCTTGTTAAAACAAGAGTGTTATTGATTTATTGAGGGGAAGTAAATCCATATTTTTGTGCCATGACATTGGTGGTAGTTGCAGTGTGAGTGTGCGAGTGTGTGTGTGTGTGTCCGTGGGCCTGTATGTTCACTCCATAAAGCCTCATTTGGCTGGCGCCTCCGTTCACCTTGAAAAGTGTGGTCTCTTGTTTGACCGACAGCCTCCTCTCACCAATCCTCACGCCGCCAGAAGCTTCATTGCACTGTAAGAACCGCCCTCCGTGAGCAGTCATTGGCCGGGGAGCTGCCGATCCAAACCGAACCGAACCAACCCAGTTGTAATCCAGCCTGACTCTGGCCTCCTGTGGACTGCCCAGCCCGCCCGTTTCCTATGCCAGCAGCTTAGAGCCGCACTGTGTCTCAGGACTTCCCCATCACATCACCGCCAAAAGACTCAAAGCAGTGAGCGCACGTCGTCTCAGTCACAGTTCAGTCCGCAGGCCAGATCCTCATCCGCTCGCCCTCCCTCCTGTCTCTCCGTCAGGTTTGTTGCGTTCACTCGTGGCCATGGTTAAGGGAGCGTGGGCAAAGACTCTCGCAATCAGAAGGGAGATTCAGTCGCTTTTTTTACTTCAAAAGCTTGTCTGTTTGGGTGTAAGTGGGCATGTGTGCGTCGCCGCGTGTGGGTCACAACGACGACGACGACGACAACGATGATGATGATGATGATGCTGAAAAAATGATGCAGAGACCACATCTGTTCACTATGTTGCAGGGGTGTAGCTAGGAATTCTGGGCCCCCTGAGGAGGAGGATACCGCTGTGGGTTCCCCCTCTTCTTCTTTTACGCATACAAACCTGCTACTTTACGGGCCCTCTCCAACTGTGGGACCCGGGAATCGCCACCGCCTGTTTCACCCCCGTGGCGATGGCGCTGCTCCGGCGGCAGGTTGCTGCGTGCTGGTTCACACCGCTTGAGAGCGAGTTTCTGAGTGCAGTTCTCCTTTTCCTTAAGCTCACAGCCAAACGACGGTATATGATTATACCGATTACTGCATCCTTGATTTGCATTCCTGTACCTTTATTGATTGAACTTTCTTTGCTTGGTCATATTGACTGAATGATCTGTTATATGTCCCCCCCCCACCCCCCTCCTCCCCTCCTCCACCTCACATCGCCCCCCTCACCTTCATGTCTTTCTCACCCCCGACCTACAGAAGCAACTAGCAGATGAATTTAGGCCCCATCTCCAGACAAGTGTACTGAACTGCACAGCTCAGAATCGGGTTTAGAGACCCTTTCAGGCTCGCTGAGGAAAATGCGTCCTTGTGAGACTTAATTTCCAACCAAGTAGAGTTTTTGGGTGTTTTTTTTTCTTCTTTCACACAGGAGATGCATGGATCACAGATATAGAAAGTATCTTAAAAATTGCGACAAACCCCTTCAGATTTAGGGGGATCATGCTAGAACTATATAAAAAAAAACATGATTTGGGTTTCATGGCCCAAAAGTCTGGCTAGTTTTGTTTTAGCGTCATTGTAATCAATCTGGGATTTGCAACGTGGAAATACTGCAAGTGAGGGTAGTGTGCTTCTAGAGCTAGTTGAATTGTTAACAACCACCCGCCCCCTCTTTCTCCTCACCCTGCACTCCCCCCTTTACCCTTTACATACACACACAATTCACACATCACAGTAAACACACACTGACCCACACTAAGCCTCATAGGACACACACACACACACACACACACACACACACACACACAGAAAAAGCCCTGCCATGTTTGTGTTTGACAAGCAGTTTGCTTTTATCTTTTTACCTCCAAAAACTCCCTCTCGTCCCTCCCTCCTCTCCGTTCCCTCTCCTCTCCTCTCACCCCAATCCCATGCATGTCCTAGTGGTACTGGTAGTTGGGTGCATGGAAAAAGCAGCAAGCAAATCGTTTTTCCACTCGGTGAAAAAAAAATAAAAAACGTGTCTTCATTTTAACATTCAGCAATAAATCCCCTTTTCTTCATGTTCATTATTCTTGGAATATGCTACATGATTTTTTGCAAGTTTTATCAAAAACATACTACTTGTAAAAGAAGAAAAATCCAAAACCACCCGTTCATATGAAAAATAAAACTTATTCCTACCATTTTGAAAAAGTCCTGTCGTCTTTGTCAGAGAAAAAAAAAGTGTTTTTTTTTTTCTTTTAAAGTTGTCTAGAATTGGTTGTTTCTCCTTTACTTACATCTACCAAATGTAGAGTAAGAATTTAAAGTTAGTTGAAGAGATGTGACCAGTAGGTTGCAGCATTCACCCAGTCCATACTCTCATGTGCAATCAGCTGGATGGTGTCCTTTGTCTGAAAGTTGTAGAAAAACACAGTAACTTTATAGATTTTTTGCAATATTTCATGCTACTAAGGAATGTTTTGTAGAAAAAAAAAATCATTTGGATTGTAAAATTTGACATCTTACAAAACAAAACTAACCAGGACTACTGCGCTCCCTTTGGCCTCTGTGTGCTGAAGGTGAGAGCCGGTGACGTCACATCTCGAAGAGGTAAGAACAATCAAATGTGTTCTGAGACAACATGTTCAGGATAAACGCGCTCTTGAGTTTCCTTCAGTTTCCCCTCACGCCCTGTTTTACCAGATGGAAGAGTAGAATGAGGCGGGTCAGGGACAGAAACAAGGTGGGTTTGCATAGGGGGGGATGGTCTTTGTTGGGTGTTAACTCAGCTAATGGGAGGATATATACGGAGTAGGTGGACAACATAAAGGTTCACTCCTCTGAGGAGCCGGCTTCTTGTAGATTCTTGTGTCAGCAGTTTTTGGTGGATGGCGTCCCTCAAACATTGGTGAAGAGGATGTAATTCCCGTCTGCTTTCTTTTTGTCAGTGAGTGTATCTCTGTGTATTTTTCTTAGAAAGTAGGCTCCATGGGGCGTCAAATTACTTGTGTGGACAACGTGTGTTGCGTAACACATCGGACAGGTATTTAATGAATGTGGGAGTCTTCACTTGAATCAGGTAAGGAAAGAAACGGTGTTGACACTTCCTTTCAGCAGATGATCTTCTCTTACAAAATCACATATTTTAATAAGCTGTATGCTGATACATTGGTAATACCTTTTTAATAAGAACGTGTGGTTTGACAAAAGGTCCATTGGGCAGCTGACTTGTCCCAGTTGTAATTTCATTGTAGATGCACAAGTGTCTCAAGAAATCTTAGCTGTTAAAATTGACATTCCAACTAGGAAAAAAGTTGCTGAAGAAGATCACGCATATAATCAAACCGTACAGCTGCTAAATTGACATTTTGGTGCAGTTTGTTTAGTCAACTTTCCAATATAGCCTCCCTCTCTCATGACTATGTTGTATTTTCTGTCAATGGATACACCAACACCATTTCTGTATTGTGTAATCAAAAACCTGTCTTTTTAGACAGACTCAAGTTTTGTCCAAGCTAACATACTCTTTTTGTATTTGCGGTAGAATGGCGCGCTGCTTCTGCCGCTGGCGCACAATGTTAATCTGTGTGTGCACGCCGTGCATCTTGCTGGTCCTGCTGGTTGCCTACGCCACTGTCATGGTGTGTGCGGCCACGAATAACAGAGTAGTGTCTTTTCACTTCGTGGCCTCGGGGACTTTAAACAACAAGTCCTTCGGCCCGCTGCCTCAAACGTTCTGGGATCTCGACCAGCATGGGGACGCCATTTGGAACCGCCTCCAGCTGACCATCGACCGGCATTTCAACCCCGTCCTGCGGCCCAACGACATGAGGACGGGGTTGGAAAACGACAACATTTATGAGTCCCGAGGGATGCAGGGGTTCTCCGAAGTGAAGTTGGACAGCATGGGGGAGAACCTCGATCGGCTACCGGAGCAGATTCAAGACTTTGCGAAGCACATGCACAGGAGAGACTACCCGACCCTCATCCAGCCAGACGGAGTATGTGGTGCCGGGGAAGAGGAGGAGAGGGAGGCCCCGCTCCTTCTACTGGCCATCAAGTCAACAGAACTGGGTTTTAAGAACCGGCAGGCGATTCGACAGACCTGGGGCCAGGCAGGATGGGTAGCAGGACAGGGGAGGAGCGCTAAAGGAGGAGGAGGAGGATACATCCGCAGGGTGTTCCTCCTCGGGAAAGGAAGAGTTGAAAATGTGGTTGGGGATTTACCAGAGTCACTGCAGATGGAGAGCAAACATTATGGAGATATTCTGCAGTGGGACTTCAGGGACACGTTTTTCAATCTCACCTTGAAAGATGTGCTCTTCTGGAGCTGGTTCTCTCGCTCGTGCAACCGGACCGTCTTTGTCTTTAAGGGGGACGACGACGTCTTTGTCAACACCCCAAAGATGATTACGTACCTCCGGGACCAGCTGAGGAAGCCACAAGCAAACAAGATCATTGGAGACTTCATGATTGGGGATGTGATAGTTGCAGCTTTGCCGAGCCAAGACAGGAAGTCCAAGTATTTTATCCCAGGCAGCTTCTACAAAGGCCGCTATCCTGTGTATGCAGGTGGTGGAGGGGTGGTGTACTCGGGCCTGTTGGCCAGACGCCTGCACCACGTGTCTAAAAGGGTTCACCTCTTCCCGATCGACGACGTTTACGTGGGGATGTGTATGACGCGGCTTAACGTTCACCTGGTCCACCACGCTGCCTTCCTCACGTTTGACTTCCCTAGTGGCACAGAGGAGAAGCAGCCATGTTCGTATCACACAGTCCTATTGGTCCACAAGCGAAGCCCCTCCCAGTTGCTTAAACTGTGGGCCAACATGACAATGACACAGGCTCAATGTTGGGATGCGCCCCTGAGAAAGGGTTACACTTAAAATCAACCAAAACTGTTTACTCATCCGAAGTTTCTTGATCAAACAATTTTGCTTCTCCGCTCTTTAGCGAGAGGCTGTCAGTCAGGAAGCACGTTGACTGACAAACATCACAGTTTTAGCAAATTCCATATTGATTTAAATGTCACTGCATTACCACAAGACGACAGCAACGGTATGACATGGAGGTGGCTACAATGTATTCCTTAACCCATTTATTCCAGTGGATTATGCTTCTGTTTTACTGAAATGATTGGAAATAACTGGAGAATAATATGAAGAAGACGTTTACAGTTAGCGACCGTTCATCGTCAGAGCCGGGCTGTAGCAGCTGAGCCCCGAGTGCATCAAATTGTGCATTCATGCTTTATTGCTAATGAAGTCCACTTATTTTTATTTGTAAGAGGAACAATGTTATTTCTGACTTCAAAAAGCGGTAGAGCTTTACTGCCAGAAAGGTAGAATCTTGAATGACGTACGTACGTGTAAAGTCTATGCTGAAAGCAACAGTATTACTGCTGTTAAAGATGAGTGAGTGTTTACATCGGTTGAAAAAATTAAACCGGTCACGTTCTTTCCATTACCTGGAATCATTGAGCAGCCGGTTCCAACCAATCAGCTTCCAGGTCAAGTCTATAAAGAGCCCTCGCTTTTGTGATTGAATAAGATACATTCTCACACAAATACTCATTTGTTTGAGTCATTTATAATCTGATTGCTAAAGCAACTAGAACAGACAAACTCTTTAAACTGTGCCAAATGAAACATTTTTGAAAGAATTTTTGATTCACTAACAATTGCAAATGCAAACCGAATAATCCATTTGGTCTTACTTGCTATATTGAAATAAATATAGTAAATATAAATAAGTTTACGTGCGTATTGGAAGAACCCTGATGTTGTTAACTCGTAAAAAAAAAATGACCCATGGTTGATTCCAATTATCAAGGCCTCAAAGGCTAACGCCTAAATGCATTAAGAAGGCGCTCTCTGCAGAACGAGTTGCACTGGCAGGACCGGCTCCACACCAATACTATGACATCAGCTTTTGTCATTTATATTAGGAAAGAACATCTGGGAACTGGGAAAGAAATGGGTGTACTTTCTGCGCAATGGTTTTTGGAAGAAATGTTTGTCTGAGCGGAAAATAAAGAGCATTCTATTCTTTCTAAGAGATGTGGAATTCTTGGAAATATAAGAAGTCGAGGAGACCATGTTGAGTCAAAGTTAAGAAAATAAACAGCTTATGAATGAATCTACCTCCAAAACGTTTATCATAAACCAAAATCAGCCAGGAATGTCAGACAGAGATGAGGCACAAATCAGTTACAAAGACCAACTAATAATACAAAGCGATACAACTGAAAGCAGCTTTTCTTTAAAACCGTCAATACAATCGGCTGTATTCATTTGAAAATCAGATCTGTAGGAACGGTAACACCCACCTTGTTAAAGCAACACTAATGCAGGAGAGATGTTCAAACACGCCACAGACGTGTTGTTAAACATGATCCTAGTGTCAACCGGGAAATAATTTAGAGTCATGCCATTTGGGGGATTTCAAATTTGTTCCTACGGAGGGGGGTTGAATGGATTTATCGGTACACATCGACATCCTGCCACGGTACCGGGTGGCCTCGGTATGCTGTAAACCTTGTAGTGTTCCCACAATCACTGGATTGGACTACAAACACGCTCGAGTTCATGACACGTTCAGAAGAAGCTCTAACTCACACTTGAAATGGGACATTACCGATTTCAGCATGTACCAAAAATTAATTTAAACGAGCAAGACTTCTGCTTCATTTAAGTCAAGCAGAGCCGTGCAGACGGCGGCGAAGGATGGCGACCATCACTTCCAATCAGTCCGTGATAGCAGCAACTCAGCGCAGCACTTTGCCTCGTGATTTTTTCCGCAACCCTCCCTCTTGATGGTCCGCGTCCTGCGCGTTGCCACTAGGAAGCCTTTTCGGTCCTTTCCTATTTGCTGTTTTCGGCTTCTTCCTGACTGTCCTCCTCCCCACTCTCACTGTACTGGTAGTTACAGCGGTTGGTGTTTACAAAGAGGTCACTCTCGTCATCATCTGAGCCGCTGAAGTCCTCGTCCTTCTCTGTCTCCTCTGCCTTCTCCGGCTCTTTGTCCGGCTCCACCGTAAACCCCTCTGGCCTGGAGACAATGGAAAAAAGAAAAGTTGCTCTGTTACACGTGACCAAAAGGGGCTAGTTGTGTTTGTGTGTTGCCACTCACCAGAGCTGCTGTTTTTGCAGATACTGAATGTTATCCTTGTAGAGAATGAAGCTGATCTCTGCCTTCACTTTCTCTCCTTCATCAATGGGATCCACGATCACGTAGTCGCCTAGACATATTTGAAATAGGAACCAATAAAGTGAAGGGTTAGATGAGGAGAAATTAAAAGCTTTCCTTTAATTCCTCCTCCAACGGTGATTGATATTAGCTCATTCTATAGATATATCCATACAGTGTCTCCTGAAAAGAGAATATCTAACGTCCGACATGAAATCAAGTGTGCAAAACTAGTCTGATACTCACAGGGTTTAATAATAAGGAATGTTGCACAGCTATGTCAATTCGCTGTGAAGTGGTAACGCTATTCCTACTCCATGGAAAAGGTGGGGAACGATCTGTGACGATCACAACTAATTTAAGCAAGCCCCTCGATCACTTACCTCTCTTGATCCAAAGGTTCTTGCGGAACTTGGGGGGCATGCTCACCAGGAAGGTCACACCCCGGGCTGTGACTGCCTCATGGAGGTTGTTGCCACGGCTACCGGTGACCTACAAGTGCACAGGCAGAGGATGGAGAGAGGAGTCAGGGAAATATCCAGCTGCTCGCTGTGATGCCTGCGGCCTTTCAGTGTACACAGCCCACCTTCACGATCTGCTGCTTCTCTGTGGGCGTGACAAAGTCCCCGAGAGCTTCCTTCACCACGTGTTTCCGTTTGGTGGCCTGTGACATTCTCAACGACGCGCTGTGAGGAGACGGCTTGTGGGTCCACGGTCACGCACTAGTAGTTAGCTGTGTGCGAGTAACGACACGTGAAGAGAGAAAAGACGACAAATCATAGGTTAAAACACGACTGACTCGCACGTTCGTCATATTGAACACCGGTTCAGCGTGGAGCTCATTGATCCGTTAACATTAGCTTAGCAACTTCTGTAACTTAAATCTTTGGCGACGGCACTTATTTCCCCGCGTGGCGACATTTCACGTTGCCTGAACTTGTTGAGCCAAACGTGGTTGTCAACAAAACGAGAGGAAATGCCTGCTTTTAACTTTAACATGAACAATACCAACTTAGTGCTTTGGTTAACCGAGCTAGCATTGGAGCTAGCCTCCCGGTAACGTATCTGCAGCTCACCCACGTTAGCAGGTCACGTGATCGCCTCGGAAGAGAGAAGAGTGACGTGAAAATGTCTCTGAAAGGCGCAGAGCGTTTGTGGGTAGCGTGACAGCAGCTACAGGTATATGCAAAGAAAATGCACACCGACTGTTTGGCACTAAATCTGAATTACATGTGTTCCGGTTATCTGAAACCCAAAACCGTTACGTTTCCGGTGTCAACTTTGATGTTTTCAAAATAAAGGTGTCTTTCTCCTTTTGTTTCATCTGTACGTTCAATGGGTGCTTAAAATGATCTGATCACAACCGTCTCACCTGCGCACCGATTGCTAATAATGGTCTGACATGGTACCATAGTAACTAACAAGATCAGATTTGCGTTCGCTTTAACACGGAAGCACATATGTTTAGTTGTGCGTGGCAGTTCCTTTGCATTGTGGGTAATAGAGTTTTGTATTCTTTTAAAGCAACGTTCAAGATCACCAACATTCGATGTTGCCGACCAGTTCTTACACAATACACAAGGGAGCGTGTAGAAAATAAACTATTTTCTTTATTAATGACACCTTTCAAGATGCAGGTATTCTCTACTGAAGCGTAATTGATTGTTTGATAATTAATTCACCATAACAGCAGGGCATGTTTATAGAGTAAAACACTGTCTATTCTTACTTTTAACATAAGTCACTTTAGACATTCCGGCAATGTCCATTGTTGTTAATTGTGAGTGTGTATACACACACACATTTGCAAATAGTTGAATATCACAATATTCTACCAGCTCATGTTAAAAAGTAATACCACATACAATGATTGTGATTTCACACTTTTATTTATTCAACCATCACTTATTTCTCACTCTTAGAGCAGTTTATTTAATTACATTGTAGTCATGTGCAGACCAATACAGGTAAGTAAAACCCACTCAGCTACTACATAGCATTAGCATAGACAGTGTTAACAAAACATCCAAGAAACCACAAAACACAATAGTCTAACTTCTAATTATTGCACGCTCTTCATCAAACGCAGTCTCAGTTACTCTAAGAAAATATAAGATAAAACCAAAGTAACCTCACGTTACATAACACCGATTCTTAAGACCCGCAAAACTAATTGAATAAAAATAGCACATTTAATCTATTTTCAAATTACAACAAAACTCAATTAAGCAAGCTTTAATAAAGCTGGTATGTTTTTAGTAACACAAGGTGTGAGGTATGAAGGTGCAGTCAGCTGGCAGCTGTGCTGCCGTGTTTGTGTGGTGGTCGTTCTTTAGTTCACTACAGCAGATGAGCACATCTTGTTGATCCCACAGGCATTGGAGCCCCGGTGCAGGTAGTAGTAACCCTGTACGAGAGACAGAGAGAAAACACACAGTGACTTTGGGACTGCGTGTTGCAGTGTCAGATTCTAAAGAGCACAATGACTAACTTTAGTCCAGGAAGGACACTGCTGAGCATTTTACTCTGGTGATATTGTTTAAAAGCAGAATGGGACATGTAGTTGCTGTATAATCAAGAAGAATAAAGTACTATCTTCTAGAACGTTTATGCCTCATGACTTTTCCCTCATCCACAAAGACTGTTGTAGGTGGGGTTGTCTTACCTGCTCTCCATAATCCTCTCCCCAGCTGTTTTTGATGGCCCAGAATGGGATACTTTTAACTGAAAGCACAGAAAAATTAATACAAGAACCAGGATCTGGGTGTATATAGCCAGGTGAAGAGAAAGACTCACGTTCTCCGTATCCCACCATCAGCACAGCGTGGTCGATCATCCAGGGGTTGCAGAAGATCTTCAGTGGGTGAGACACGCCCTTCCTGTAGAACTAGGGACATTTCCAAAGAGAAGATAAATCACATTCTAGTAGAGATCCAATGCATCCTGTCATGATGTTATCGTGTCTTTACGTTTGAATTTAACGGCGTTGGTGGCAGGGTGTCGTATTTTAGTGATGCAGCCATTGCTGTGGGCAATGCAACCCTTTACCTGCATAGCAAAGGCGTTCAGTGCAACAGAGATCGGCCCGTTCTCAGCCAGCCAAGCTGCAATTTCTGAGGGAGAAGAAAAAAAGAATACTGTCAACAGATCTTTGTTTCCATCTGGCAATGAGGCCCATTCATCTTAAAAAAATAATGTCTGCTCACTCAAATATAATTAGAGATTTCTGAGCTTGTTGAATTGTATTCCAGTGACAGTTTCTGCTGACATGTTTATTTATCAGTGCTTTGTCTTGGGCCCCTCTCTAGCCGCTGGGCCCACTCACCCCCCTCGTCTTTGGAAAGCTCCACAGAGCTGTTGATGTAGGCGGCCACCTTCATTTTGGTAAAGTCGCACCTCTGCTTGTGCCCGGTGTAGGAGTAATCCGTCTCCGTCTCCAGACCACCTAAAAACAGTAGGAGTGAAGGTTAAAAACCTCCGCCAAAATCACTCGCATGCTTCTGCAACACATCTGCAAATGCTGGCCAGAATGCTAACAAAACTCAAAATGGTTGCGCGATTCCCTCGTCCTCCACCTGTGACTCACTTACCCAGCTTCTCGATTGTTTCGTAAGCATTCGCCGGCAGCCCTCCTTTGCACGCCTGGTCCAGCCCATCGCAGTCCACCAGCTCTGTGAAGGAACAAATCAATGAAGCAATTAAACCCTGGCATCATCTGTAAAGATAACCCGTCGCCTTTGTCGTGCCGGAGAAAGTTACTGAAATACAATATAATCTGTGTGTATTTGGAGCTGTACACTTGTGTGTGTGGGTTACCTTGTTCAGAGAGAGACAGCAGTGTCCCGTTTTTCAGGAACCACTGGCCTTCAATGTTGCCTGTCACAGAAAACGCCCAGCAGGACCCACACATACCCTGCAGGGAACACACACACACGTGCACCCGCACAATCAGCATGAAAGTAGGTCGCAGGTATCCTTTCTTCTCCAGTAACACGCTCCTCAGTCCCAATAATTACATCTGTTGGTCGGTACCTGGTTCTTAACGGAACTGACGGCTCCATGATCCCTCCAATCCCAGCTGGCAGGGGCGGGGCCCCGCGCCGGAGAGGCCGGTTTCATCTGTCGATGAAGAGTCCATTGACTCAGCAGCGGGTTCAGGTAAGCAGAGCGAAACTCGTCCTCTGGAGGAGAAGAGAGGGAGAGCAGTTACTTCACTTTTGAGTTTCTTCAGAGGATCCTCGAAGAAAATGCTGATGCATGAAATGCGAACAGTTTGTTTTGCAACAGGAAACCGTGTGGAAATACAGGAGCCACATGCGTGTAGAGACACGCACCAGTGAGGTCGCTGAACTTAGTGACTCCATACTCCGCTGAGCCCTGATCCAGAGACTGGAGCTTCTGCGCCGTCTTCATGTTCTCGTGGAAGACGCGCAGACGATGATCTGCCTCTGTGGGATCAAAAGGGGGAATAAACATATTTTAACAAAAAAAATGACTTGGCGCTTGAAGGCGAAGGGCTTTTTTTACTACGCTGTTCATTACTCTTTTACATTTCATGTGATGTTTGAAGTAACATCCGATTGAGTGAGCACATTGTTGCTGTTTGGTGGATGTGATCTGGAGTCTCATAAGCCACTAATGCACAATGTCTAGTTGGCGTTGAGCGACTGGGGGTATTTAGCTTCATGTTGAGGAAGTGCTTTTATTGTTGCTGTGAGAAGGCTGTTAGAACATAAAGGGTTGAAGGTGTCGAAGGAAACACTTTACGCAGCTCACTTTGTTTGGCACTAACAATACGTAACAGACACTCACCCTCCTGGCTGCTGTAGACCTTGTTGTACGTCACCATGAACTCTTTGAATTGGCCCAACAGCTGAACAGACTCCTGCCAGAAAAGGAGAACAAACACACCAGGTTTATCTTCAGACCCGGTCCCGAGATGATGATGGCAGTTTAATAGAACCAGTTGAAATGTGGTTATTGACTGTGCTATCAGTCCGCTTATTGATCCAACAGACACCATTTTTACCTCCAGGGGCTCGCTGATGGAAGCATCCACGACCTCGTTGGTTTCTTTTAGTTGAGATTCAACTGATAAGAAAGACATCCAGGACAAAATGTTATGTGTCAGTGTGCAGAAGACGTATTTATGCACAATGTCTCAAGCAATACTGTGACTCTATGGATTTCAAATAAGTGAGTCAAATAACTGGGAGGTGTGTTCCTCAGCTCAAACTTTAAGCGATCTGTGTGACTGAGTGACGCTGCTGACTGACCTTTAGGCTGGCACTTCTGTTTGAGGAGGGTCGAAGCGCCCTGCCAGGGAACGTCCCACACCTCGAACACACACACTTCCGTCTGGCGTAAAGAAAAGCACACATAGGACAGAGACCCTCTGAAACTTGATGGACAAGTTGAATAAGCTGTTCATCTCCTGTTTTTATGTTTATTTCATCTGCATCTTGGGACCACAGACAAATTATACCCTTTCGGCGCGCTTACAGAAATGTTTTTTATTCATGTGCACTGTCCTTTATCAAATACACCAATAAAATAAATAAATAGTCTTTGGTAAGTTTTTATACTTTCAAAATTCTGTTTTCTCCTTTGGCTCAGTGATAGGATGATTTAAAAAGGTTAATAGGTCTCCAATGTAAAGTAAAATAGATATATAAAATAAATAAATAAAGTAAAATAAAATGAGTAAATATGGCATATTGTGTTTGCATGCATGATGTCATGAGGCAGTAGCATGCTTGTGATCAAGGGAAACCCAGGTCACAAGATCTGCAGCTTTAAAAACCGTATTAACAGAATTGCTACATCATCAATATGGGAATATTTCGTACTCCGGGACAATGCCCTCCTTTGTCCCACTCATTCCATCTCTCTCTCTCTCATGCACAACGCAACCGACCTTGAGTTTGTGCAACTCGGGATAGAAGTCACATGTCCTGAGCTCGGTGGACTTCTTGCACTGAGTGTTGCTCAGCTCCACTGTTATTGTGTAGCGGATCCCTTTAACCAGCTGGAAAACAGACAAACATTCATCAGAACCGCCTCGCAGGGTGCAGCAGAGTGGTCCCCATCTCGGTTTCATGCATAATCAACACAGTGCATATGACACCGCAGTGAACTAGCGTACACCATTATGTGTCAGGCCTTTGTTTCGCTAACTCTTGCTGACATGGCGCAGCTCTGAATAGTCCGCAGGGAACCTTTGTTTACAACGAATTGAACGTAACTCTCTGCAATGCCTCAAATGATCACACAGCAGTCCGGATACTGCGCAGTAACACACAAATGAATAACATCACGTTGGCGTTTATCGACCTGTTTGGTGGCCGACAGCAGCCGGCTGACTTTGCGGAGGTGCATGGCATTGGAGCCCCGGTTGTAGCGCTCCTCGGCGAACTCCAGAGCCTTTTTCAGGCCGGGGTCGGACTCCAGCAGGCGGACAGGAGAGCCCGGAGGCCCGATCAGAGGCCGGTCAATGTCCTCGCCCAGCCCGAGTACCGAGCCCAGCACGGCGGCCAGGGCCAGCCCCAAGAGCACCGCGCGGCGGGATGCGACCACCATCTCTGAGAGCGGCCGGTCCGTGATCCGCAAACTGATGTTCGCTTGAACAGAGAGACGTTCCTTCAAATAAACCCGATGTGTAGTTGGTCGGCAGTGGTTACACAAGAGGCATTGCTCGCTTGTTGTTGTTATTCAATAGATCCGGGATTAGGCTGTGGGAGGAGTCGAGGGCGTTGGTGGGCGTGGCTTGTTCAAGAGACGCTTATAAAGACGTGATAACCGGTTAACGGCACACGTAACTGAGACGAAAAGACAAATCATAAATATCTAATATGTAATTTGTTCCAGGGAGAGTGTAAATCACGAAAATCTTCGTTTGCTCAGGCGTGTCAAATAGTTTGGGCAAACACTGGGTTAGAAAAACAATGGATTTAGTCTACACGGACACGATATACCTTTAATTTTTCACATAGTAAATCATCAAAACCTGTGACTCGTTAAGGACTGGGCTATATATTATACATTCAAGTAATTAATATTAATATTTGCAGAACAAACACAATGGAAGCACATATATGTGAGTACATAACATACACAGAGAGAGAAAAAAAGAAGAAAAATACCAACACTGAGCAAGACGAATGCACATATAGGTGAATCAAGCAGGCAGGACAGACAGCACATCAATGCTTGAAAACCTGAAAGGCAACAAGACAATCTCTAAGGATGTATTTGAAGGTATTGTATGTGTTTTCTGGGAAAATATGTTACCGCACAGCATTCCACGAGTGAGCTGCCTTCACAGGGAATGCAGATTTGCTAAACGAGCTTAACTTGTGTGAAATAACACAATCACCCTTTGAAGCAGATCTAGTAAGTCTGCTTCTTTGACTGCTTTGTTTAGTAAAACCACTAACCACAGTGGAGGCGGGACCATTCCATGTAGAATTTTAAAAACCAGACACACGTGAGTGAATTTAATGAGGCTCTCCCAACTCAGGATTGGTGAGAATATTTCAGTGATGGTGAGTTCTGTTTTCTTCATCAAGTGTTCCACACAGTTTTGCTCTGATCATCACGCCATTGAAATTACAACCTACTAACAGAAATAATCATACATGGCCACTAGAGAGAGACAAAGTACTACCACTTATCAGTGTTTTTTCTTTAACTGGAATTAAATACGGGAGGAAATGACACAACGAAGCGACACATAGATAAACTAGGCCGGCTTTGAGGGTCTGCAGAAGAAAAATGCACAGCTCGATGTTACACGATATCACACAAAAGGCTAAAAATATTTTTGATTAGCATTTTTTTAAACAAATGGCGCAAAAGCACTTTTATTCTGGAGGGCTTTGGCCGGAAGTTTGGTGGTTGTTGCTTCTTGCGCAGAGGGGCTAGCGCTGCTAGCACCGCGGGAGGAAGCGCCGTTGGAAAATTACAAGTCTAACATTATAAACTCCCTGAAACCATTTAGCTTCAAGTAAAGGACAAGTTCGCGTGGGGACGATATCGTTAGTTGCGACTCCATCCCCATGCGATAACGTTGCTGTCGTGAACGGCATGACTAATTTATATCCAGGGATCAGGTTGTATTCTTAGCATTAGCCTCCGAGCAAACCTCTGACTCGCAGTCATGGAGAATCGGGGGATTGACGACATGTTTGACTTTCGTCGGTAAGTCGGCTAACCTCAGCTAGCAACACAATTAACTTCCAACTAACGCTATTTTGCAACATTTTGTCGACGCCACGTAACGTTTGCTAGATATTTGCTAAATGCTTTCAAACCAAGGGACGTCGAATGTGTCATGAGCATGCAGCTAACCTTAGCTGGCTAGCCTAGCTGTTAGCCGGTGACGTCATAGCACGACGTATCGCTGTAGCTTGTTATGCTACATTATGCAACGCTGCCTCCAGTGCACTCGTTCCCCTGCCAGCATGACATGGCCCTCCTCGTCATCTCGCTCAACCTTAACACGTCTGAATATGAACCTAAAGTTACTCTGCTCGCGTGTGTGTGTGTGTGTGTGTGTGGCGTCAACAGCTTCCCCTTCGTGTCCCCCCCGAAAATTACCTGTAAAAGTGTCCAACGTACGTGAGCCAAATCTCCCATTGAGCAGTTCGGACACAAGGCCTGAAAATGAGGCGTTGCTGAATTTGTGATTTCAGGCCGTGTTGATTTCGGGGTTGCTCTCATGTTCTCTTAAGACATTTTGAACCGTCAGACAGTGTAGCGAGCTGTGGGGAAAGGAACCATCGGACTGTATACATACATACACACACACACACGAGGGAAGCCACCATCCGATGCGTGTTAATATTCAGCAGTAAATATTTAACCAAATTTAAAAATGCACTGCCCCTTATCAAAACAAACTATAAATGCAACGTGTTGTGGCACACATGGAAGTGGAGGGGGGGTTTCAACTGCCCTGTAGTTTCACACATGCACGGGATGCAACACATACGGGCAAACTGGTTTTTGTTATTGCGTAATAACATTTTGAAGGTTACCTCGGTGTGGATGTTTTTGGTGGTTGAGGGTTAGTAGATAAAGTAATTAAATAAATGCACACAAATCAACACTTGGTGTCTGTCAAGATCATATCGTCTGTCACGATCTCCACAGCAATTACTTCTCATGTTTTCAGAAGTCCTCCACTGCATTAGAACATGTTGCTTGAAACCGTTTTTTAAATTTTGTTTTAATGTACAGGTTTCCCAAAGATGCCGTTCTTCTCCTGCTGCTGCTGATTTACTCTCCGGTTGGCATCTGTTTGATGTTGATACGCATCTTTCTTGGTGTTCACGTGTTCTTGGTCAGCTGTGCGCTTCCAGAGAGTTTTGTTAGAAGGCAAGTATCAAACTGTCTCCAAACATATATATAATGCTGTAGTTGTGTCTGATTTAATACAACCCTTATTCAAAAGAACATAAAACTGTATTTATATTAATTGAGATACAAGTAGTAGAAATGTAAAAGGAAAAACTGGGACGATGTGAACATGTGTTGGTCGACAGTGGCGCAGTGGTAGAGAGGCTGTGCTGGGAACCACAAGGTTGGTGGTTTGAGCCCCGGCTGCTCCATGTCCAATGTCGAAGTGTCCCTGAGCGAGACACCTAACCCTAGTTGCTCCCCAGGCAAAATGTAAAAAAAAAGCCATGGGTTAAAAATACAATGTTAGTTGCTTTGGATAAAAGCGTCAGCTAAGTGACTTATAATGTAATGATTGTCGCCTACTGCCTCTCACAGCTGCAATGAGTAACGGCTGCATTAAACACATCACTACAACACTAAGGCTATCAGCCTCTCAATACTTCATATATATGTGTGTGTGGCACGATGATCTCTTATAAATGAGACTGGGTTGGTTCCATGTTTAATTTAAGTTGATGGCTGTAGAATAGAAGAGTCGTTGCATATCAGTAAACGCATGTAAATAAACTGTATGTGTGAGTTATTTTTGTGAATGGCACCACTGCATGCAAGATTACAACCACCTTTCTTCTATCTGCCTCTCAGCTTTATCGTGAGGGTTATGTGCTCGGTCCTGGGGATGCACGTGAGACAGAAAAACCCTCGCTCCCGAGACCGAAACACCAAGCTGTACTTGTGCAACCATGTGACGGAGTTTGACCACAACATAATCAACCTTTTGACCCCCTGTCACACTGTGAGTGTTTGATTTTAAAATGTGTCGATATGCAGGTTGTTTTAAACATTCTAGCCACCTCATTTAAAAGAATACTGCATGTTTCCTGTACCAGTTTGTTTAATTGCGTATGCTGAATATCACATAAATGATAGTCGTATATAAGCTCCCTTCAATGACTGTGCTAATGTCTTTTTTTGTGCTTTCATCTGTGTTCATAACTTGTGCTGCTACAAACTTTTTTTGTTTAGCATTTTTTTGGTTATCCTGTTAAAAGTATATTACAGGCATGAAAATCCCTCACCTTTCGGCAAAATTCGCCATTTTGAAACCAAAATAGGTGACCTACGTGAGTTGTGTAGATTCGATGAGGTTTTTTTTTGGGGGGGGGGGGGGGGTATTCATATTCAGTGAACTGCGAACAGGTGCGCGTGTCAAAAGGGAGCGCGAGATTCAGTGAATTGCGAACAGGGTGAGAGATGGTTTTAATATTTTCTGGTATATCTAAGTTAAGTTACCCAGGAGCTTTGTTGACATAGACTTAGCTAACGTTAACTACGTCAACGAATGACTCGAAGAAAGATTCGTTCATTTTACTGAACGAGATTCAAAGAACCGAGTCGGTAAAATGGTCGGTAATATCTTGATTTTTATTCTGCTAAAATGTGACTGGCTCCTTCTCTTTCTGCTCCTCAGCCCCAGCTAGAGGGCTCCACAGGATTCGTGTGTTGGGCCAGAGGCTTCATGGAGATTAATTCAGCGTCCGGCCAAGAAGCCGTAGGAGAGTCTCTCCAGAGGTACTGCTCCACCCGAGGTACCCCCCCTCTGCTTCTGTTTCCCGAAGAGGACACCACCAACGGCCGAGCTGGCCTGCTGAAGTTCAGGTCAGACACCTCTGTGGCAGGATCCGTCTACTCCACATTTAAATCTCAAGAAATAAGACTCTTTGTTTGTGACTGGTTGCTAATAGATGCTAATGCGAATAGAAAATAAATAAATAACATAATTATATTAGCTCTTGTTTATAGCTTTTTTTGTCGTTAATATTTTGCATCAATGATTAAATGAATCCTGAAGCAGTGACTTGGATCTATCGGTATTTGCAGTGTTTTGGCCTCACACGCATGACTTTGAATGTAGAAAGTTATTTAGATTATCATTCCTCTTTCATGGCGCTTTGAGATAAAGATGAATTGCTCTGGCAGTTGTTGTCTCACAAATTTCCCTCTGGAGTCGGATGGGCAGATCGGTGTAAAGAAATAAAGGCAGCTGCAAAATGGGATAATTTCTGTCTTTAATTTGCGTAGGCCAGAATTGAGTGTGCTGTACCTTTTTAGAGATTCTATAGAACCCGATACAACTGTGAGGAGCACTTCATAACAGTGGTGAATTTCACTATAAACTAAAACCCCCGAATCTGATTAAGAGCCTTTTGCCAAGTAAAAGACACGCAACAGTTAACTGGCTCCTTTCCTCATGTTTATCAATGTTACTTTATTCATATTTTCCAATGAAAGCTATCCATTTGGAAAAAGTCAACATTTTGTTAGTGGCCACAGCAGCCAACTTACTAAATCTGTTTCTCCTCTCAGCTCCTGGCCTTTCTCACTGACTGATTCCATCCAACCTGTGGCCTTAAGGGTGACCAGACCACTGATCGCTTTGGTAATGTTGCTTGAACTCACATTTTCAACGGGGATAAGATGTTAAAAATAAGACGAGACACGGACAATGTTTACTGTGTTTTTTTCTTGAATGTTGACAACAATATCTGAGTGTTCGACTTAATGTGGTTGGTAATGAAACCTGAACCATCAAGGAAATCAATGAGGTAAAATAATCCCAGGGGAAAGTCAATAAAAGTGCACTTTTCTGGAGTGTATCGGCAAGCTGATTAGTGGAGGCTGCTTACATCTAATGAAGCCCTCCCTGAACAGACAGTAATTGAGCTTTGTGTTACGGTGTGCAGCGGGGAGATAATAGTTGCACGATTGTTTGGGTCCCCAAACAATGTATGTTACGCTGTAATATAACTTCTTAACCTGACTGTATTTTGTCTATTCACAGGGGACACCTGAGTCCAGCTGGCTGACTGAGCTCTTGTGGACATTTTTTGTTCCATGTACAGTGTATCATGTAAGGTACTAAATAATTTGTATCAATTTTTCTATTAGCAATTGCTTTTTAAAGTGGAATAATGATATTTTGCAGCTGAATGATCATTTAATAATCCAGTAGATGTATTTATTTCCCATGTAACTGAGGTAGCTTTGTGGAAATGTGCATTATTTAACTAAAAACACTTCTGACCCCAAGCCCATCTTCCCTAGACAGTAATGTTGATTCATGAGATTCAAATCCGTTTTAAGCAAAATTGCTCTTGAAAGTAATTGTTACTCCTGCACTTCCAAATTCAGTTTTTGAAGGATTTTAACAGAATTTGTTTTGGCACAATTGTTGTTTACTTCACACAGTGTCAGCTGTGCCTTTGTCATGAGAACCTGAGGAGAATTTCTTGAAATTTGACACCAACATTCCCTTGGACTTGATTTCACTGCGTTCCCAGAACATACTGATTTGCTAATTATGATAATTTGTCCCAAATGTCAAAAAGGAGAAAATGATTAAGCAGGGATATTTTGGACAGGCTTTGAAAAGACCGGCTGGCACGGCGTTAATTCTGGTTTGTCTTCTCATTTCCATCCCAGTTGGCTCCCATCAGTATCCAGACAGGATGGAGAGTCCATGCAGGAGTTTGCCAACAAGGTTCAGGAGGTAAAACCAATGTTCACCAGTAGAGTGGATTCAGGAAGGGTTTGATTCACGTTATTCAGTTATACAATTTAGGCAATTTATCCAGTTTCCTGACCTGATGAGTTTTGTCTCTCCAAATGCCTCTTTTTGTCTTTTGTGCTGCAGCTGCACACTAAAGGTGTGTCCTATTGTTTCAGCTGCTAGCGGGTGAACTCGGCTTGGTTTCCACCAAGATCACAAAAGGTGATAAAGCGGAGCACGTCAAACGTAAAAGACGCACGGTACCACAAACCTCTACAGGTGAGTCGACCTCAACACAGGATTCTCCCCACGTAGGCGTGCAGCTGGATGTTTGTTTTGTTGGGTTCCGGTGACGGCGTTTCTTCCTCTTCACTCTAGGTGTCAGACCTGGCTCCATGGGCCTCGGCTTCATGGTCCAGAGTTTGGGTACCGAGGATCACCGGGTTGCCAAGATGGCCCAACAGGTGAAGGACGTGCTGCCTCACGTCCCGCTGAACGTCATCGCCATGGACCTCGGTAGAGCACCTTGCTGACACATCCTCGAGTTAGTGGAAGTTGGTTTGTGTTGCCATGTCTTGACGGTTGTCCCTTGATTTGTGCTCAGCCAAAACCAATTGTGTTGACACCACTATAACGAATCTGCTGGAGAACAAGGAGGAAAGTCCGATGGAAGCAACCGGCACGTCGGCCTTTGGGTGTTCCAGTAACAGCGTGTATTCCTCCGGTCCTGCTCCCACCATAAAGGTTTGATGCTCATTAACTGGGCGAATGGTCATTTAGGACCCAATTTATACCATACGTAAACCTATGAATATCATATTACCTACAGGAGGAAACCGTTTAGTTCAGCTACTTCATCTTGTGCAAGATTCATTGTTTTGTTGTCTTCCAGTAAATCGATTCTTTTTTCATCCACAGCCTGCTGCCAAATGTTTTGGGAGATCACCAACTGACAGACATTTGTCTCTCCAAGAGAGAAAAGAAGCCCTCTATAATTTTGCCAGAAGGTACTGTTTTTTTCTGGCATCAATGTTACGTCGTTACTTCATGCTATTGTACTGTTACATAATGGAAGTAAATCTTGCTTTTATTCCTCAACTATTATTTTAATCAAACAGTTCTGGGCTCATTGGAAGTATTCATGTCGTGTTAATGAGGCACCTCAGAGAAAAGGCCGAGCTGCTTCACGATGCACAACAGCGTGCAGTTGTGAAGAACAGTTTTGCAATATTCATTTGCTTTGAGATTTGCTCTGATTTAATTTCCAGGGTCATGTCCGGCGCTCCTTGCTTCTATGCAGCGTTAAAGCTGCTCCAGACGGAAATGTTGTGTAAAAACACTCTTCACTTACTTGGACTCCAGCTTTGTGTCGAGGTCCAGACTGTCTGAGAAACTGCAATGAAACGCTGACGGACTGAAAGGGGCCGATCGCAGTGATTAACCCTCCGTCTGTAGCTCTCCTCTCCTCCGCACAGCGATACGTGTCTGTAAGCGCGTTGGTTTCAGTTGAAGCCACTGACTTGGCGCCAGACCAACAAAGTTAGTGAATGAACGTTGTGAATATTGGACGGTACATTTGTGAGTTCACTTGGAAAACCACTTCAGAGTGATTCCTAATGTTTCTCCCTGACTGCTACCATTTGCCACAACGTTTATGCTTAAATGACAATGTTGTGTAGAACTTGTTGCGTTGTGCCCAAGTGGCCATTCATTTTTGTTAGTTAAACATCTGCTGGCAGAAGTGATGAACAAGGAAAAGTATATTTCCAGTGAGCCTCGGTGCTTCATTGATTCTTTCAGTATCCATGTTCAGACATTGGACCAAGTGCAACTCCAGCACTAAAGTCTGAAAACTCTGTTTTGTCCTCTTCTAGACGCTACATTGAAAAACACGGATTAGAGGAAGAAGAACACTGAACACACTTTGGGTCAAGCGATCGATGGAAACACCCGAGAGAAGCATATTCAACTTGCGTAGCTGTCTAATTTGAACGGTGATTTTCTACACTGGCAACCGTTCCAGTTGCAGAACCGATTTAGTTAATTGCAGGTAACCGAGCAGAGGATTGACAACGTGTATATGTCGATGGAACGGTGATCACACATGTTTAATTCTTCATTCTGGCTGATGCATAATTTTGATAACGATTTGTATTCCGATCCACTGATTTTGAATCATCTATTTATTTTTATAATGTCGTTGATGCAAATAAAGTTCAGTTTGACCATATAAAAGTTGTTTTTTTCCACATCCGGTGTACTCATTACATCGGATGAAAGAACTGTTTTAAAACATAATCTACTTTGACTTTTTTTTTCCCCCCACATGATTTATTTATAATTTATTTCTCCTCCCCGTCAGTTTAAGCGACCTCAGCAGTGAAGTCAGCGCAGGTATTTGGGTTGTTCAGCTCCTCCAGGTAGCAGAAGGACTAAACCGCGGGGGCGGGGAATCACACGGGGGCATCGGGGCAGGTGGGGCTGAGTTCCTTTGGAAATCAACAACCATCTCCACTGTACCTTTGAGTGTCAAGCTCCAGGTTCTTACGTCACCAGTTGGTGATGCTCCTCCCCACCACAGATGAGCTCAATGAGGGTGGAGTCGTTGGTAAACTTCAGCCTAATGGACTGATAACTGGAGGTGCAGCTGTCAACATTGGATATTAGTCTCATGTTGAGCAATGAATGTATTCTCTAAACTTAATTTTTGTGATTTATAACTGATACAATTTTTCAACGTTTTAAAACGAGCTGCAATTACAAAACATGTACAACACCTAACATGGTCTGCAATGACTTGGATCTTCGAAGGCGCCGTTTATCTCAAAGTCTCATATTTCCCACAGTACGTAAATGCATCTTTCTGCTACACCGGATGTTACGTCCTCCTCATTCCTCGACTGCTGCCGATTAAGCTAACAAATTAGCAATGTCTGGTGTCCGGGATATTTCAAGTGAATCTGTAGAAGTCAAAGAAGACCGAGGGTTTGATGTAGAGGCTGAAGACCGAATCGGCGATGGTTACTTTCTGGACCCGACTCGATATATATTTTACAAGTAAGGTTATAATTTCAAATAAATGTCCGAGTAGCTAGCTTGCCACTTGTGCTAACCGTTCACGTTAGGTTAACCACGTCGGCTATTAACTTCGTTTTAGTGTTTAATAACTTTATTTATTTATTTTTGTCAGCAAGTCTCATCAATGTTTGCAGTAGTAACATTATCAATAGTTTAATTGTATTCAACTATAAACTAGTGTCTATTCACTGGAGCAGCGTTGTGCTAATTCTGCTAACTCTTCTTTCTGTTCCCGGTATGTGGTGCGCAATGAAATTGTACCGAAGTTAAATCTTCGCTTTTCTCTACGAGTTTGTGTTCTATTTGTTGAACAACGCAGTCCGCTTAAGAAGTGCCATCTAGAGGGATTATGAACCTGTTTTTCAGAGACCGAAAGGAGTGGGCTGATCTGCAGCCTGTTACTCAGGACGATGGACCGAATCCTGTTGTGAAGATCGCCTACTCAGAAAAATGTAAGATTGTTAGTAAATGATGGGCGCGACCGATGACACCATAGATGTAAACGTATCCAGCCAATTGATTTTTCTACCATACGCGTATTCATGGTGTACATGTATTTCTTCCAACAGTCTCTGATGTGTATGACTATTTCCGGGCGCTCCTGAAGAATGATGAGAGAAGCAATCGGGCCTTCGCCTTGACAGCAGATGCTATTGAGCTGAATGCTGCTAATTACACAGTCTGGTGAGGATGATGTGTGTTTGGAATATGGAAACGTCCCGATGTATGTTTGCATAGAGCGATTCCTTAATGAGCAGAGAGGTCCCTCTCCAACAAGTTGTCAATCAAAACAATAACTTGCACCCTTCGTCTACCTTTCAGTCACTCTGTTTAATGACCGTCCTCGGGTTCATGTGCAGGCACTACAGGCGAGTATTGCTGCAAGCGCTTTCCAAGGACCTCCGGGAGGAGATGAGTTACATTACCGCCATTATTGAGGAGCAACCCAAAAACTATCAAGTCTGGTGAGTGCCAGCAAATTAATTTCAGGGGAAGCGAGGCACTTGAACTGATGATTTAAGTTTAACCAAAGCATTACACAATAAGACTGGTTGCCAAACTCTCCTCCCAGGCACCACAGACGTATGGTAGTAGAGTGGTTGAATGACCCCTCGGAGGAATTGGAGTTCATCGCGGACATTCTCAGCCAAGATGCAAAGAACTACCACGCTTGGCAGCACAGACAGTGGGTCATCCAGGTAGGTGTTTGAGCGCCCCGGCAGCGTTTGGCTTCATCCAGTTTCCTACCCACAGTGAGCCACTCTGCCAGAACTAATGCTTTAGTCATTGATATGTTGTCTGACTCCCCCTGTGCTCAGTGTTTTTACATTGCCAACGTTTCTCCCCTATCTGCAGGAGTTTAAATTGTGGGACAACGAGCTGGAGTTTGTGGAGAGTCTCCTGGAAGAAGATGTAAGGAATAACTCTGCATGGAACCAAAGGCATTTTGTCATCTCTCACACAACCGGCTTCTCTGATCCAGCCATCGTGGAGAGAGAGATTCAGTGAGTCATTTTCCTAAACGTCTGGATGAGTGGGACACAAAGTTAATTTGCATCTTTCAGGTCGGATGGAGGGGGCAATATTCTTTGGACTCCGTACCATAAATAGTTTACATTTAAAGTCAATCTTTAAACAAAATGCTTTGAGTGTTAAAAATAATGTTTAATGTTCCTGCTTCACTATGTGTAAGCAGATAGTTTTCTGTTGCCGATATTGGACCGATTTTCCTCTCTTCTGTGTAAGGTATTCTCTGATCCAAATCAAGAAGGCTCCCCACAATGAAAGTGCATGGAACTATTTGAAGGGGTAAGCGGTCACAAATTTAATAAGTGTGTATATATAATCCCAGTAGATCTTCTAGGAACAAAGATGCTTGTATTTGTTCTTAAGCTTCAGTTGTGCCTTCTACATTCAGACGTTTGCATTACATGATATACCACAGAAGAAGATAAAACACAATCTCAGTATCACTTTTCCTTTTTTACAGGATGCTGCAAGACCAAGGTCTGTCGTCTCCGCCAAGCCTCCTGGAGAGGGTCCTTGAGCTGAAGGAAACTCACTGTTCACCTTATCTTCTTGCATTTCTGTTTGATTGCTACGAGGACATCTTGGAGAACAGCAATAAAAAGGAAAATATGTTGGAAGAAGACCGAAAGGAAACATTAAGGAAGGCTCTAGATGTAAGTGAAGGGAATACAGACTATGTGATGACTGACAACGGGATGTACGTATTCGTTGCTCTAAAATTGTGCCAACTTAGTTTTCGACCCATCTTGTGTCTTCTCTCCTAGATTTGTCAACTGTTGGCACAGGAGAAGGACACCATCCGTAAGGAGTACTGGCTGTTTTTAGGACGTTCTTTAAAGAACAAATGCTGCCTCTCTGAGCCGATGGTGGATGGATTTGAAGCATCCGGGCAGCAGGAGAACAGTTAGACCACCACGAGGCTCACACCTCTTCTACGACCGACCCTGCTTCGTCTGTACTGCCAACAGAACCCCCTCCCCTCCTGCAGTTTGATATTACTGAAGAATGCTATTCTGTATTTTGCTGAGGAAGTTTCTTTAAATGGCCACTGATGTGAGATTTCGGTGGAATTAAACAGATTGTAACCTTTAGGATAGAGGAGTGGATTATGTGTCAGCTATTTATCACCTCCTGTTCAGGAAGAGGAGCTAGGACTAAATAACTACACAAGTAAACTGTGGAGGTTTGTGTGTAACACGTTTTAGGATGGATTCTTTGTGGCACGTAAAACCTTCAGTATGATTTGTAAATGTGCAGCAGAAAGCATCCTGAACCATGAGAATAAAACATTCTTGTAATACCAAGAGTGGTTTGTTAAGCTATTCATTTGGGATGATCTGCAGATCGATGAGTCACTAAATGTCACAGCGGTCCTTTTCTCCGTTCCTCTAAATGAGCCACTTTTCTTGCCATTGGCCCAGTTGGTTCTGTTTGATACTCCGAGCTGTGCTGCATAAAGCACATGCAGCCTCATGTCCTGGACTCCCTTGGAGCTAGGAAATGGATTTACTCCACTAAATGCAGCTGTTTCTACTTCTGCTGACACTACAACACAATCCATGCCTCCCGTTTCTAACCAAGCAGTCGGTGTGCCAGCAGTGTGTAATTACAGCTTCTCTTCATACTCGTATTAGAGCAGCACTGCTTGCTTTTCCTCCTCAGTGTGGAGGACACTGATTGGCGTGATGACGTGACGGAGCCGTAGGACACTGATATTACGAGGCCAAAAGGCAAAAGAGGATTAGTTCCGTCTAATATACCGGCCTTGTAGTAGTTCATCTATGTAACCATCTAAATAAAGTGTGAAGCAGCTACTTTGTTGTAGATGGAATAACAAATCAGGCTGCCAAAAGAATAAAAATCTTGGTCACACTGTTTCAATTAATTAAACAAAACCGATCAGGTAGCTGCTGCAACGCTTGGAGGACAGATCTCCCCGGTGGGTAAACCCACACCGAAAAACAAAACAAGTCCCAGACACACTGTAATTAAAATACTAATTAAACCAAGTCCAAACAAATCACTCAGGATCCCCTTGCAATCTGCAGGCTATGGGAAGTTATTAAATATAGGTGAAGAAGACAGACTGCAGCCAATAATCTGTGTCTTCTGTTGTCCATATGCAATGTGAGCGTTATCATGCACAGACACGGCTGATTAACAGGAGACCAGTGAAGAGTCCTGGATGAGATCCAGCCTGGTTCAGAGACATCTGTCTCTTCTTAATGGTAAAAGAATGGAAGCTAATCCTGTGTGGCCTCTGTGTTTATCATGGAAGCAGCTACACACTGATACGTGGACTAATCATTACATCGGATGAAAGAACCCTGTAAATTTGGTAACAATATGAAAGAATTCAACATCCTGCTCTTTTCTTTTTGTCGTTACCAAAAACACCCAGAATAGACTGAGCTGAAGACTACTAAAAAATAAATGAAAAAAAGCATGTTTTATTTCCTATTAATTTCACTGGAAATAAACGCATATTAGTTTCGCACAGCAACTTTGCACCACTGAGCTCCATATCAAACACATCGACGTGTCGCACACTGACATGCTGCTTCCTCACGATGAAGATGAGCCCAGCAGTTTATTTTGAGTCGATTAAACACCTTAAATATTTATAGCACACAGACTAGAGACTTTAAACCGCTGGGTGGAAAGAGTCCACAGGAAACACCGTTTTGCCTAATTTACTTGTGTTCTTATAATAAATGCTCAAACCTACAGCTGAATTCATTCAGGATCAGGATCAGGATCAGGAATCAGGAATCAGGAAACATTTATTTACCAAAATATGCCAAACATAAAAGGAATTTGTCTTGGCGGTTAGAAGTTAAAAAAGATTTTTTTAATTTTTTTTGGACAATTTTGTGTGAAAGAACCGATGGGCTTGAGGCTGAGGGCCACAGACTTTATACGACAAAAACTAAACCATTGTTTGTTTTAGTCTTTATGCAAGATTAGCTTGCAATAATATTAAAATATAGATCTACATCTGTGTGGACCTTTGTTGCATGCTATACCCTTCTCCGAACCGCAGGCACAGTCATCATCATCATCATCATTCTGCTGGAATGATGATGATGACTGAAAAAAGGGAACAGAAACCATGTTTTAATAAAAACAAATAACGCTGTTAATCTTCTCAAACAGTTAGCAGAAGAATCACAATGTGGGAGAAATGTAATTAAAGCCAGAAGGATGATTCATAACTAACTACAATTTTATTTTAAAATAACATGAATATAGAAGGATATTGAATGAACTACGCTCACATTTATTGCTGTTAGTCTTTCTGATTTATTTAAATTTTCTGGGTTTTTCCTTCTGCCCGTTACTCTTTAAATCGTGTTGACCAGAAGTTCTTTGATTAAAAGTCACATCTTAGAAACCAATTGAGAACATTGAGTGATTAGGTCAATTATTAAATATGGTTCAAATACAAATGATGGGGGAAAGTTTAAAGTTCAACTACTTCTGATTAAGATCACGAGGATAAATTTGATAAATTTGCATTAATTTTTGGTGCTTTCTCATAATGGTGATTCACTACTTTAAGGTCTATAGTGTGTTAACGCCTTTTAATTAGTTTAATTTTATCAGTTTCTAATGTCAAAATATTGACTACTGATGTTTTAAACAATTCTCTTTTGCCCTTCCACCAATTTACCTCTCGTGTTTGTTTGTTTTTCGTACCTTTGTCTCATCCGGGCTGGAAACGTAATCCACCTCTGTGTTGACAGTTCAGACTTCATTCCTCTCTGTGATATACGCAGTTTGAGTCTCTGTTCCAGTCAACAGCCGTGGAGGCTGCTTTGGATTCCTTAATATTGATGAGCTAACAGTATTTTACAGGTTGACCTGACGTTGCTGTTATAACTGCTGTTGGAAAGCTGCATCTCAGATGACGAAGCCGTCCATCTACAACTGAAGCAGTGGCCCTAAACACAGTTAGTTAGTTAAAAGCTGCTCTCGAAGAGGTGAGGGTGATTTTCCCCTAACGGGAGAACTTTGAATAGGTCATGATTCAGAGCACAGAACATTGTGTGTGTGTGTGTGTGTGCGTGTTCTTATTAGGATGGGAATTACTTTCCTCTCTAGCTGCCGCCTCTGCCAGGTTGGTGACCATGAAAGGTAAATTGTCTGTGTTGTGGAGGTGAGCGGCGCTGTCCTTGGGCCCTGAAGAAAGCTTTAGGCTGTTAAAAACTTCTGCTTCATCAAATTTGCCAGAAAATTGAATTCAGTAGTTCTACTGAAGATTAAAAAGTCCCTGCGACTGCTCCTATCACACGCTCACTGAAGCCATTTTCTGAGCTGGCCCGGTCCAAGTCTATTTGTATAGCTCTTAATCACAGTTACAGTCACAAAAGGCTTCACGACGCCCACATAATGGAACAACAAATGTGAAGACTGGTTCGAATCTGCTCATCAGCAGAGTGGACATTATGCAACACTGAAACAGAAGGCTGGATTAGGAGCTGTGTCTTTTTGTCTACCTGAAGCCGTGTGTGTCGGGGTCGAAAGATGTGAGGCAACGGCACCATGCCGTCTCACTGCTGCGGTTTGCTGGCGTTGGCACGCTCTGCGCGGGAGCGACCCGCCGCCAGCAAGCAGGACTGACAATCAATCAACCACTCAGCAGATCCTCAACACATCATCCACAGCAGCTTCTCTTATATGCAAACCTATGCAAAGTAGCAATGACCCAATTAGAGCACTCGCTCTCACACACACACACACACACACACACACACACACACACACACACACACACACACACACACACACACACACACACACACACACACACACAGGCAGCTGTACAGGTACAGTCAATGAGGTGGCTCATTGTGATGAATGAATGGGCGAGAGCTTTCCCTGGTGTTGTTCGCTCACCTGTGCCCGTCAACCGTTTGGTTCATTAAGTCATAAAGTTTTCTCGTCCGGAGTAAATTAGTCGGAAACGAATAAAATCCAACCAGCTGCAACAACTTGACCTCACTATGCGGACATTTTACAACCCCTTGAACTTTTCTCAGGTGGTTGCTTCCCATCTGAGGCTTATCAGTTCGGAAATTAATTTTTCGTAATTGTTGTCCGCCAGCGTGGTTTATGACACGTCTGGGCTGCATGGTTTAAAACATTCTTTCAGTCGTCCAACCAGTTCGCCCAAACTGAAATACGTACACTGCAGGGCAATTCGTCATAAAAACTTCCCCAGAGTCCCCAGAGGATGATTCCTGACAGCTTTGCTGACTTTGTATCACAGGGTTTAAATATCTGGATAGATGATTCATTAATATACCCTACAACGTTTTTGTATGTGTGTCTGTGTGGTAACCTCTGTATCTGCTAAACATCCTCATATTAGCATTGCTATTGAACTCCCTGCATTTAGCCGTTGTGAATACTTTAACTTCCAGTCCGATCTACGTGCTCGTCCGTAGCATGAAGTCAATCCGAAATGTGAACAGAACAGAATAAACTTGGATTTTATACTCATGTGCTACCTTAGCTCACTTCTGTTTGACATTACTGCATCAACCTGTGGATGAGTCACAGAGTATGCCTTTCTACAGTGTTTGAGACTCAAGAGATTCCTCAGTAATCTACAACACTTTGCTCCTCTCTATGTCTGTGACCCTCACAAAAGCCAAGGTCGTTTGGGTGCTATAGCAAAAGAAAGAAAAACACCCACGGTTTTATTCCCACCTGCACACCGGGTAACTAAATCCAAGTATAGTTTGGTACATTCAACAAACTGCGTGGTGCGTTTTCCGGTTGGCTGAGAGGTAAACGCGTCCAGTCAGCTGCCATCTGGCCGGCCTCTGTGTTTCAGCACCGCGGACAGCGCATCTGTGTTTCAGAACCATGGGCAGCGCCTCGGCGATTCAGCACCACGGACAGCGCACGCAGCCGCACTCCCAATATATTATTAATGCGTTTGTTGTACATTGGGAAAGGAAGGCGTCAACATTGCACAGGATGAATGTGGCATGTCATGTTATTTCAGATGAGTTTACAAAACGCAGCATATCCACCTTTTATCTGCAGGGAAACCGTTCAGCACCGTGTAGGCGTACTAATAAAGTTCACTGACTCACAGCCACTGATGCCAAACCGATTTTACGACACGGCTTGGGACGCTAACGCGGCTGAGAGGAAATTAATGATCCTTGAAATCAATGATTTCAGTTCCTGCGGGTGTTTTTTCCCCCTCGATCACCGACCAAAAGTCGTTTGCCCACCGTTTCATTTAACACCGCCCCCGCTGCAAAGTCCCCACGGGGCACCCTGGACACACCGTGGGGGCGCGGCGGGGATTTGAGCGCCTGTGTCATCGGTCATTGGTCCACGGGACCCTCGAGCAGACGCCTCCTTCTCTGCCACGAACACGCCACGCACCACTCATCCCGACGACTCGGCGGACTGCGGATGAGACTCTCTCTCTCGTCTGGGGGGAGGGCGAGAGGGTGGTGGAAGGGGGAGGAAAAACTTTCGGCCAGGAGAGTGCTTCAAGAGTCTGATGCGCGGTTAGGTTATCCGGGGTAAAGTGATCACTGCCTGCGTATGGATTACCGATAAGTGCAAAAAAGGAGCGCGCTCGTGGCATTAGTTATTTATACATTCTCGTAAAGCGGCGGCGATGAGAGAGAGACGCCACAGTGGCGAGGATCGCCCGCTCTGAACCGGAGGAGTCACCGGCAGACGATGTCCCGACGCGTGAGTGCTTCTAGAGGAGACGAAGGAGGATGAAGAAGGGGGGAGAGGGAAGGAGAGCGGCAGAGGTGGAATATAATGAAGTTGAGTGGAAAAGGACTGTGCGCCGTCTTCTCCAGCACCCTCCTCTTCGCCTGCGCCCTGAGCGAAGTTGTCGTTGGACTAAGATGCGTCTCGCTGGGATCTACGGTGAGAGCGCATTTCCACCTCGGCGCCGCGGCCGGCGCGTTCTACTCCGGGCTCCTTCTGGGCATCGGGCAGGCGCTGCTGGGCTCCGCGCTGCTCTTCTGCATGGAGAAGCCCGGCTGCAGGAATTTCTCTCTCCTCGGCGTCGTGGTCTTCTTGTTGGGGGTCCTCACCGCCTTCTCCGGCGCGGTGGTGGACGGGGACACGGCTTCCCTGGTGGAGAGAAAATACACCCATTACTGCTTCCACTCGCTGGTCGTGAACCCCGCCTGCGAGCAGTTGAGGGAGTACCACCGGAGTCTGGTGGTGTCCACTGTCCTCAGCACCTTGGAGTGCCTCCTCGGGCTCCTCAACTTGGTGGTCATCAAAAGGTACAAAACAGCGCAGTTTTCCAGGAGCAGGGAGTCTGAGGGGCGACGCGCCGGGGCGATGCTCTTCAGCGAGGAGCGGGACTGCTCGGGGGATTTCCAGCCGGTGTCTTACATCAACTTGGGGGTTTTTAATGTGTTCGACGAGACAGGCGCAGAGGTGCAGTGCGGGGGACATCCGTCCATCGAACTGCCGGGGTACTCGCCCGCGGACCCGGAGCTCAATCATTGTTTCCCGTTCTCCTACCCGCTCCCCAGCGAGCTGCCGCCCGCGTACGAAGACATTTTCCCCGCCGAGGCGAGCAACACATAGGCGCTCTGGAGCAGCGTTTCTCCTCCGCTGTGACAATCAACGACTTTGTGCTTAAAACAGTTTCTCTCTTCTTCTACCCCCCCCCCCCCCCCCCCCCCCCCAGCTAGAGCAGTGAGCAAGTTACACGGCGGGGCAGCAGCAGTGGATTTGAATCCCCCTGATTTGCTTCTCATTCTGACATCCCCAGACAGACCGACTGGAGGAACAGATAAGTGATTTGGTCCAAACAGTCCCGGCAAATCGAGGCCCATGAACGCAACAGCTTGCTAGTAAACTAAAGCGGAGTTTGTGTTTTGAATGTTTGCTGTTGACATTTTTACTTGTAAATAAAAAAGCGTATTTAACCTCATCTGTCACAAAGCTGTTGCTGTAGCTTTTGGAAAACCCGTTGATGAAACCGGATTTTTCAAGGGTTCAACCGACTTCTCCCGATTGACTTGTATGGGGAGGCGTAGGTCATTAATTGAACCTTTCTATTGGATATACTCAGGAGCCACGTGGTCTACCATGTAAGCAATTCTTTTCTTATCATCATCATCTGGGAAAATACCTGGAACACATCTTATATGCCAGGACATAACATTTAACGTACAACAAAAATGAGCCATGCAGTGGTTTGTTATTTACTTATTACCCATAACGTACACTCAAAAGAGATTGAAATGGAGAATTCAAAATCTAATTAACAGAGGTTTTATTTCCAGAGCGTCAGAGAACATTATATGGGCTTAATGGTTCTCCCCCAGAGTGGGGCGGCTATTAACGCCTCTTTAAAAACTTTTTTAAAGTGGAAGTATGACTCAAAAGGTCCGGTTTTGTGGAAATGAATGAATAGATACAGGGAAATAAGCGCAGATCAGGCATTTAAATGAATGAGATGTACGGTCAGAGCAACGGCCGTTTTTCATGTATACCTTTGTCATTGCAACTGTTGCATCAGGCGAACTTTGTATAAACTGCTGACGGCAACCGGAAGGTGCCCACTCAAGAAGAAGTTTTGAAGTAACACTACAAAGCACAGACAGAAAGACTCAATTATTATTAAAAACGTGCTTCATGCACACACCCTTGACATAGTATGGGAAGACCATGGGAATGAACAAGCCAGCAGGTGACAGCTGGTTCAATGCTACACTGACTACAGAACAGAGGGCTGGCGGCTGGTGGCAGCACTTGGCTTCCACCACTGCGGAAAGGACGAGCCACCTAGCCAGGTAACCGTTTCTGGAGCCGAATCCACGCTTTCCTGGTGGGCAGAATGTTAAGGGCCCGCCGACGTGTGTTTTGTCACCACGACAACTAACAACAATCTCCATTTTCTTTTGTGCTAATCAAATGACCATGACCATGACAACTGTTAAATACCCGTACTGCTCCTATGCCATCTCCCTTAGCAGGGAAGGTTGATATGATAATGAGTGTGTGGGAGGAAGCAGAGGGACATTGGGATCCTGAATACACCGCAGTTAACTTGCGCAAAAGTAGCAGGAGTAAAGCTTTTAAAGGATGCTCAGATGTAGCCGGATTTCCGGATATGATACGGACCGAACAGGGTCCTGCAATGTTTCCAGTATGAAAGAAGCTGCGCAGCGCTGCTTCCCATTCGAGTCCATCTGATGTAACTTGTGATGGTTTAGTAATTCTACCGCATCAGATAAACTAATTAAATCACCTCACGGCAATAATCCCCCCCAAACATCCTCAAACTCGTTTTTAATTTTCCATCACAAATGGAAAAGTGAAAGAAAAAAGGAGTAGATTAGGTTGTCATGATTATGTTCCCACCTTTAGACAACAGCGCTCAGTGGTAAATCAAATCGAAATGGTCCATTTTCAGTCAATTTAAAGCCCTCAAATAAGCATCTACGGCCAAATGTCTGCTCACGGTTAATTTAGAAAGATGAAGAAGTACAGTCCTGGCTGAGTGTATAATCCTCCACTTATGCTTTTCAAACCACTAGATGATGCTTTCCGCTTTCTCATGCTACTTGGGTTGGGCTTTAAGTGCCAGAGATGAATACCCGTTCATCTAAAATTTCATGCCAGTAACAGACACAGCCATATCCTATACGATTAAGCAAGAAAACAACGAGAGGACAAATGGGGTATTCTGGAAGCTGGTGTCCTTAAAGTTTCAAGGAGAGTTGTCCAAAGGAAGATGCAAACAAGAGCTCTGCCCGTTGACAGAAAACCAGAACAAAAAAAGCAGAGTTTAGGTCCAGACCCTTTCAAACAAATACGGTGTGTGCAACCTGCAGCACAGACGCACAGGGCAGCAGTGTCCCACCAAGCGTAATGACTTGGCTGGGCTGGATATGTTGCTATTTAATCTTTCAAAAACTCCATTTGGCAGTGGGGAGACACACATTTGGCTTAACCTTTAGAGAAAGTATCTGAGAATGTTGTCTGCCCTCTTTCTTAACTCCACACTCCTGCAAGTAAAGAAAAATGTCAGGTTTTGCAAAGATCACCCTGCAGGGAGCTGGTGCCATGAATACATTGTGCTTCTGTTACATATTTATTTTAACTATGCAAGGTGCTTGTCTCCCATCAATAGGCCTACTGGTCTGACAAATACAACGGGGATATACAGGCATCATTTGGTTTGACTTTTTGTCTATTTAAATGTTGTCTTTAGGCAACTTAATGTGGTGCAACTATAATTTAAATAGTTGTATAAATAATTTGAAACCTCAGTCTGAATGATGCTGTGATCTCCTAATAATGAAACTTTAGTACTGGCTTTGCTTGCATTGGGAGTTAGTGGACTCGCTGATATTTCACGTTGCCATTTTCCAGTTGGTTGTTTCTTTGTATTTCATATATTTTTCTGAATGCACCAGGTCTGTTTACATATGAAATTAACTGAGAATATAGAAGACAAATTATCAGAAGATAAATGGCTATTTATGTCTCCCAGAGACGTTTGCAGATGCCCTGACTGACTTACATGGGAAGGTTCTTTGGCAGGTTTTATTCCAGACACACGGATTGATTTCGTGAAGATCAACCAGTGTGCTCCTATTCCCATTCACAGCACTTTAACATTTCCGTTCACAGCCCTACATTATTTGATTATTGCACTTTTAACGACAGGCAGGAGTTGCTGCCATTTACATGGTTTGGAAGGCGACTGAACAACATTCTAGTTTTCAAGGGCATTTTAAGCATTTGGGACATTTTGAAAACTATTTTAAGGCTGCTTAAGGCGAGTAAATTAATCATAGGTTGTAGAGAAATTCTTCTCACGTGAAGGTTTGATTTCAACAAACAATAAATATGTGTATTCAATAGTCAGATATAATTTAGTGTTTACAGTGAGCTGCACCTCCTTTCAGGAAAATTGATAATGAAGTTAAAATTGAAAGCATATTTACTCATTGACTTGAGACTGTATATTTGATGGTACTATTTCTACTACAACTCAGAGGGAAACACGTTTTTCGTAGGCCACAAAGGCTGCTATGAAACAACAAAATAATTTGTTTTTATTGACATTGTGGCACATTAAACCTTTCTTCTCATTATGGAAATTTCTGTCTAAAATATAATTTCTTTGCTTTTCTTTAGTAAAGGGACAAATATATTTTTTCTTTTTCTCATGTTCACTTTCACTGTGTTGCTTGTTTAAATATCAGCTCCACCAGACAAAATTATGAAATGACAAAGTGGATCCAGCTGGTCATTAAAAAAAAATGGAAAACCTGGTCACTACATGACCGAGCACATCTGTATTCATCCGGGGGAGTTGGCTGAGACTGATTCGAGTTCACACAGCGTGGCCAGTGTTTGCTTCTGATGGCCATTACAATCCTACATGAAGAGATCTGTGCGAAGTCCGTTCGGACCAGTTTATGGGAATCAACCACAAACTTTGATTCTATTCCCAAAACTGCTGTGTTCCTGTGTGATTCCTTCCACCGGTGTATGAAGTGTACCTTTGACGACTGCTCCCAAAGTGCTTTGTATTATATCAAAGAATCCTGCTGCTCCAGAGTCATACTGATCAGTACCTGCATGTTTATAAAAAGCAAATATATGTCGTTTTGTTATGCAGGGCATGTTTATTATCTTAAGTTGTCCGTGGTTCTGGAGCGTTTTTATCCCCCCGGTGTCTCATCTTGTGGATAGCAGTGCTGCATTAGTGTAATGACATCTTCTAGCTCTGGTCACACAAAGTATAAATCCTCCCTCTGAGGAATATAAGGGAGGGATCTGCACAAGTGATTACACTGCAGATATCTGCATGAATGATGTACGTGGACAGGAGCGCACATCAGGAGATGAGTAAACGGAGCTCGAGGCGACAAAGGGGGCTCAAAAATGTCTTTGCCGCTACTTTAGACTCAAGACAATTGGCTCATTAACAAGGAAAATCATGTCTTAATGCTGTAGCTCTGGCTTTGCAGACGCTCACGCAGAGAGAAATAGTTGTGATGCAAAGAGAGATACAGACATCTTGTTTTACAATGTCCTGCTTACTTGCCTGAATGTATGTCAAGGACAAAATTGCCGGGAAAACTTATGAAACAAAAAAAAAAAAAAATCAATATCCTCTAAAAGCCTTTCATTAGACAGATTTCCATTTGTCAGTGTGCAGTTGCCAGGGAAAGTTGTGTCTGGAAAGCTCCAGTGGCTTTTAAAAGCCAACACTGGGATTTTCCTGTCAGAAATATGGTTCATTACCTTTGTGCGCGCTTCCAGGGCATTAGACTCGCTTGTGCCAGTCTCTGGAAAGCTTGATTCTCTCCTTTGTACCCGCTTTGAAGAGTTTTGAAGTTTCGGATTTTCAATTTCTGCTCTTCAGGAGCAAAAGCGATAACTACAAAAAAGCACCATGGCAGGAGTTTCAGGTCTGTCCAACAGCGGAACTATGCGCGTCCTGTATTTTCACTATATTTGCAGGTAACTACGTTTCTAGATGCGCTGGAATCCCATTCACAGGTGGTTGATCACACAGGTGTGCCAGGTGTTTGTATCCCAGTGTGCACCACGTGGTGGTTGTCATACAGTTCATTCTCAGCTCTTATTCCCTGAGACTGACGCTGTGCTGTCAGCACTGTGAGGGC